TAAAACTAGACCCATACCTATCACCATGCACTAAACTAAGATCAAAGTGGATTAAAGATCTAAATATTAAAACAGAAACACTAAATTTGCTGGAAGGTAAGTTAGGTAGACCTCTTGAAGACACTGGCATAGGAAAAGACTTTATGAACAAAACCTCAGTAGCATGGGAACTAGCACAAAGAATCGACTGGGATCTCATCTTATTACAAAGATTCTGCACTGCAAGAGAAACCACCAACAGAGCTAAGAGACAACCTACAATGTGGGGAAAAAACTTTTAGCAGCCGTACCTCAGACAGAGGACTACTACCTAGAATATATAAAGAACTGAAAAAAATCAGACCCCCCAAAATTCAAAGACCCAATTCAAAAGTGGGCATCTGAAATGAACATTTCTCAGATAAAGAAGTAAAAGCAGCAAATAAACATATGAAAAAATGTTCAAAATCACTGGTCATTTGAGAGATGCAGATGAAAACATTATAAATCATTTTTTAATTGTGTAAAGATGACCATTAGCTAGATTAACAGAAGTGGAAATGCTGAATCAAAGGTAAATTCACATATGATTCTGGTAAATTCCTTTATGTAGATACTATTTCATTTTGTCCTTCAATCAGTAATGTATAAATTTGCATTTCCCTACAGCCTTTCCAAAAAGATAGACGTTTGATCAGTTCTTAATTTTTACTGAAAACCCTTCATGTCCTTTGAATTTTTATGCATGCAATTTTTAATGTATAAATAGTGAGCATTTTTTTTCTGTTAAACCGGAGGCATAAAATCATGTCCTACGCCTGCAGGCACAAATGTTGCTATGCTCCAAAGACTGCTTTTGTGAAAGTGATAGCAGGATGAGGTACTCAAAATTCCAGTAACAACCAAATCAAGAACTGAAGTTGCGACTGAATTTTTGGGATTATGAACTTGGAAAAATAGTTTTGCTTAAAAGCCTACCCATTTCTCTGTAGATCCAATATTAAAAAAATTATTTCCCTTACTGAGTTCTTTTGGTGTCCGGAAGGAAGACATCACATATCAAATCAACAAATAATAACTATTAATTTCTACCGATGTGGCCTAGTTATTTCCTTGTTTTAGTATTTCTATGTTAAGAAAAAAAACTTACTTGCGCAAGGTTCACCATCAATGTGGTATCCTACTCTTCCAAATCCAGCAACCACATTATTTTGTAAAACTGTATTAGTTCCTTTATTTATCTGGCACAATGATAAAGAAAATACTCTGGGTTAAACAATTACACAACGAGAGCAAGTATAAGGCACCATGCCTGTGAAAACTTTTAATTATGATCACACTTTCAGGAGAAAAATTCGAATTATTTGCTGAATTCAAACATATTAGAACTGAAGTATTAAAATGATACTATCACTAGGTATTATATCCTCAGTAATACTACATCCTTGAACTGCATTAAAGAGATGTTTGGTTTTTTAAATTTTGGTCACAAAATCTACTGAATGTGATGCAAAACTTTACAAGTCATAGACCAAATTCCAGATTATAGGAAGGTTACAAAGACTTTATCACTCTTTTTATATTTTGTTACCAATTTGATTTATTATGAAAAAGACAACTAAGGCAATTATAGTAGATATAGGATTCAATGGTGACATTCATTAATTTAAGTAAAACTGCTGTAATCAAAAACTAAGTTAGCACCAGTGATAAGTAATAACTAAACAATTTTATTTTATTAGCCAAGTTAAAGTGACAAAAAATGAAAGTAAAGATCATAGAAAGGTTTAATTCTTGGTTACAGAGCCAGTAAAACAGTCTCAATTATTTAAAGCATATAAATGCCCTTATTTTTAAAGTTTGTGATAAAAAGAGTAAAATGGAATTCATAAATGTAAAATAAGTGACTTCTTTCAAAAGTTATAGATAACTTTAAAGATTTAGAAATGACATTTGATTATACTCGAGTATGAGGTGTAATAAAAAAGTATGGTGAATGATCAAATCTTTAAAAATGATTAAAAATATACTGCCATTAGTTCTCCTTAAAATACTCCTCCTTACTTCACGTACAATTATCTATTTTTCTTGGCACTTTTTGAACCAGTTGTGGAAGTCCTTTACATGAGAGTTGTTTAATTGGGCTATTGTGGGTGCACTGATGTCCTGAATTGATTCAAAACATTTACCTTTCATGGTCATTTGGACTTTGGGTTCAGATTTGGTGAATAAGGTGGAAGAGAACACACTGTAATGTTTTTATTTGACAGAAATTGCAGTAAATGTTTGACCAATGTGTTGTGATTGAAAAATACAGTGAATGCTTAAATTTTAATTATTACAGTAAAAGGCACATTGCCATTAATTCCCTTCAAAATACTTCTAGAAACACACTTAGCCTACCTTCCTGACAAGTGTCTTTTACTATTCACTGTATTTCAATCACCCTTTGTGTTAGATTTTACCTTAAGTTACTAAGATGCATAGAATCCATGCTCAATTCTTATCCATCTTTCAAAAAGAGTTTCTTTAATTCTTTTTCATTCCTACAGTACAGGTAAGTAAGTAAAGTGAACACAAGAAGCCATTTCTCATCCAAACTTTCTCTATACTTGCTATTTTCTTGCCTGTTGTCTCAATCTATATCTAAGCAAACTCCTAAAATAAATGAAGAAATTTCATGGGAAACAAAAAGAGTTCGATTAATATCAAATATGTGCAAATAACAGTCAGAAAATTGTGGATGAGAAAGTGATTTTAAAAATTCTATACGTTATCATTCGGATTTTCCAAATGAGGGAGGTAACTAACTAGAGATCAGAATCAACATGCTGTCGTAATCAGTCAGTTAGCACCAGGAAAATCCTGTAGTACTACTAGAACTTGAAAGTAAATAAAGTTAGAGATAAAAGGAACTAAGAGAACTATTTAAACCACTGGACCATCAACAGAAAGAAAAAATTAACTATTAGAGCTCACAACCTATTTTTTAAAGTTCATTCACTCCTGTTAACTTGTCTCATTAGTTTCTCAATATCTAAAGGAAGAAATGGTTTACAACAATATTTTGAGATTTATAATTTCTACAGAAATTATGATTATAAATGACAACTATAAATTTACATAATTATAAATTTGTTCTCACTACCTCAATTGCTGCATGCCAGAGAGTTGAGCTTAAATCTTTTCTGTCCTGATAGCTTCCTGGCCAAACTGAAAGTGTGACCAAATTTCTCCGGACTCTGTTGGCATCCCCCCAGATTCTTATGCCTGTAATAAAAGAAAAGAAAGAAAGATCCCCAGAATACATATATTATTTGTAATCAATGCTGTGGGTGGTGTCTTTTATTTATTTTTCATGAAATTATTTTTGTAGTTTGAGCCTGACAAGTTATCCTCTTAGATTTTTACCAGAGCTAAGAATAGAAGCCAGGGTCTTGAACATACCAGGAATGTGCTGTTCCACTGAGCTTCACCCTCACCTTCCCATTTGATTTATGAGTCTTCTCAACTCTGATAATTAACCCCCCTTTCATATGACCTGAATTAGAATCTTCTGGGGTACCTGGTAAAAGGATAGCTTCACAGACTTCACTTCAGATTTTAACAAATACAAACATACCTCAGAAACGTACTTAAAATTGTATAGAATCTTTTTAAATAAAATAACTTTTGGGAGAAATAATTTTTGCAATTAATATGTGAGGAATATTTTGAAAATAATAGTAATTTAAATGACTAGCAACTAGATAACTCATTTTAGGTCATGGTCTGGCAATAGTTCTTCCATGTTATGGGACATAGTAGCTTCCAATAAGATTGGGAGAGACACATGTGGCCATTTAAATGTAAATTAAGCATAACTAAATCAAATACAATTAAAATTAAAAATTTAGGTGCTTAGTTATACCAGTCACAATTCAAGTGCTCATTAGCCACACGTGACTTGGGGGATTACCACATTAGCACAGATATAGACCATTTCCATCCTCACAAAAAGATTAATTGGACAGTATGGCTTTACAGATAATATTGCCACAGAAAGACGTTATTTGAAGCAAAATATGATGCTGTTACCTTCTCCCACTGTAAAGTGAATAATGTTGTCATCTATGTCCAAGCCATCTGTGTCAAACACACCAATCGCTGGAGAGAAGCCATGATGGAAAGCACAGCCTCGAACATAAGATGAGCCGTGTTCTTGAATCTATAAAACACTGAGACTCAGCAAGCATTTAAAAAATAAAATTAAAGTATATTTAAAGCAAAAAAAGAAGTAAATGATTTTTGGTAAACAAATCTCGATCAATTCTCAATTTGCTTTCTATTAAAGGAGATGATACCTCAACAGGCTTCTTAATCATGGGAAATTTTCATATAATCTCAAATTTGTAATTAAATGAAGCAAAAAATATGCTTACTTTAACACACACTTAAAATAGTTTAATGTGCTTTTGTATCCATACATATTTCTACTATTACCTATAAAATGCTAACGTGAAAATTATTTTCCAGAATAGTTTATTCTATAATAAGCAGGGATTTTTTTTAAATTACAAAAAACCTTAAACTTAACAAAATTATTTTTTATTTTCTTTTAAGAAATTTTTAATTTCATTTTTTCTTAAATCATCAGCCCTCTCAGAATATTTATTTTCCCTCTTTTGATTGGGACATAGATATAGTGACACACTTATCATTTGACAAATGTAAGAAAAAATCACTTTAATAGAAACTGTTATTCTTTGCCACTGCAACATAAAGTGGAGATGCGAACCACTATTACAGATCTTCAATTTTGTTACTTTTCTTACAGTTTTTACTCACTGTAAATAAATGCATGAAATGAATAAATCACATGCTGTTATGAATCTAAAAAAGTTAATACAAAATATATCCAAGAAATTTTTTATCATACTAGATTATAAATTTATCTATATGAAGATGTGGCTAGTTAAATGAAAGTAAAAGTAAAAATATTTTTGGCCAAGGATTTAGCTCAGTGGTTCCGCTGCCTGCCTCGCAAGTGCAAGGTCCTGAGTTTGATACCCACTACCAAAAAAAAAAACCAAAAGGAAAAATATTTTATCTTCAACAAATGCAAAGTACAAACCTGTCCTAGGTTAAGAAATGTTACTGCATATCTTGGATCTGTGCTATCTCTGAAGCCTTCCTGACCACTGTGATAAAATTCAACGTTACTTATTCTTGCATTTCCTAGGGAAAGGAAACAGAAGAAAATTTCCTAAAGCAAATACAATAAAACATTTTATAAGATATAAAACTGTTCACATTTTTCTTGGAAACTGCATTAGTTTTTCTCTGCTCCTCAGAAAGGCAGTATTTCTCAACCTTTTTTCCCATTTTTGCCCTTCTTAAACATTTTCTCATAATAAACTCCCTTTCCCATAAAATTGTAAAATTTTACTTTTGCAGATGTATCATATATTTGTAAATATAAAGTGGCCCTTTGAAGAACTACAAACCATTGTGAAAGCTAAGTACTTTTTGTCCTGAAGGACCAAATTTCTCCCCCTTAGGGATAACATTGCCATGCTGAGAAAATATGCACAAGGCATGAGATAAAGTTTATTTGAGATTTCAATTTTGGTGCTATAAAGAGTTTTTAAGGGTATTATCTTTCAGAGAATCTTTCAGAATATGTGTTGCCAGTTATCTGCCAAACAGTTTGTCAGAGTACCACTGAAGTGACATAAAATAATTTTATAGATTATTGATCATAACAATGATAATCCACAAGCAACTGCTCTATACCAAGTGGCTGTATTAAATGATTAACAGGCAATATGGAGTTTAATTCTGTAAAGTATTCTATGATTTAAGGGCTTTTATTATCCTTAACTTCTAGGGAAAAAAACTCAGGCCTGGAAATTCATGGATGGAAAAAACAGTAGAAGATAGTCCTTTTTTCAAAAACTAGTATTTATAGGATGCACTGGAGGAGAGTGATTCTGTACTAGAAGAGAAAAATCTGCCTTGAAATTCATGAGCTAGCAATTAAATACATGGTGGAGAACATAAGAATAATCAGAAGAGATGGAGCAGAAATGATTAAAATAGAACAACTGGTTATAACAATAGCCATAAATGTGAGGGGGAGCTGTTTTTATTTTTGTTTTTTTCTTTACTTACATCACAAAACAATTTACAGAAGCAAGGAAAGATTGTCTTGGGAATAGAATCCATCACAAAATTTGAAATAAGATAGATACAGAGTAGTATCTAAGATAAATTCAATTTCACCCTTCTAAGCATAGTTTTTTTTATTTTTAAAGAGGGATAATATTTGTGCAGTAGATAATATATGTTTAATGCTCAGCACAGGGCCTGTGATTTTATATTTATATTTATATTTTATTATTACCACTATCATCCTCATTATCATAAGGTAAGTTTCTGTTGGTTATGACCAAAAGGTAAAAGTTATATTGGTATAGGTTTCTGCACAATATATAGATTTTCTAATGTTAAAACTGTTGCAAAATGGAATAAGGAATAATTATCAATATTTTTAGATCTGCTACTGAAATATTTTAATATGAAATAATACGTCGTCACTTCAATAGAATCCAGGAGCTTGAAGAGAGTGGATGGAGGCATAGATAAAACAAGGTTGGCCAAAGCTGGTAATGAGGTGGTGATAGACAATTGAATTTATGTTGTTTTCTGTGTTCTCAGTATATGTCTAAAATTTTCCTTAAAACAAGCAAAAACAACAGCAAAACAACAGATGATTTGTTGTACATGTTATGGAATGATTTCTGTTTTGGTGAGAGGTTTAGTACTCTTACCAAAGGTCAGTGTTTGAAATTCTTATTGTCTATGAAAACAGAATGAACAGCCAATAATGTTACAGAATTAACTTGGAGGGTAATACATGAACTACAGGAACACTTTTAATGCTTTATTTTTCCATGTAATCCTATGGTGAAGTAAAAATTATTTAAGAACTAATAATGGAAGAGGCAATGTCCTATATAATTTAGAAAAATAAATTGCACTTATACTAACCTTTAAAGGTCATCATATTCCCAGTGAATGAGCCAACCAGAATGCGTGCACCAAATGAGTCCCTGGACCAACCAGGGTAATCTTCACCAACTATTTTGATGTTCCTACTTAGTAATCCAACATCGGCAGCTAATATGTAGCTCTGACCTGTTTCGGGGACATAGTGTCTTTTGGCTGGAACAGAGGGACAGCTAGATTATTGCCAGTGCTGAGAAGTATCTGTCTTTATCAGATTATTGGCAGTTCATATGCTAGATTACTTTTTACCAAAAGTCTACTAATTCATGGATTAGATTTCCATGATTAAAAAAAAATATATATATATATACACACACACACATACATATATAGCAGAACTTAAATTAACATATTCTTATTTAGGAACTAAAATACAAGCAACATATATATTTTTTTTCTGTTTATACCAATGAGCTTATTGCAATCAGCAATTAGGGAGTTACTGCTTAACAGATCTTGAAGGGAGTTTGCAAACACTACAAATTATACACATTGTTGTATAGCAAATTGAGACTTACTGTAATTTTAATAGATGAGGAAATGAAGTAGAGAAGTCAAAACAAAACAAAACAATACAAAAATTTCTCCAAAGCCATAAGGAGAGTCAGCAACACAGATATTGTTTCTCCAGATACCTAAGCATTATTTATTCCACTTTTCAAACTCAATTCCTTATAAATATATACTAGTATGTCAAATACAATCTGCACATTTACATCATTTTATTGTTAGCATATATTCGTTTTTAAGCACAATATTTATTGGTACATTTTAGAAATACATAATGATAACACTCATCATAGGGAATTTGCACCTGTACTTGACATGTTTGCGATACATAATAATTAAATTCATCTGGAGGAATTGGTATATATACATGTTGCATCTTGATTATTTTTACTTCTATTTTATCTACCCACCCTCTCCTCTCTCCCCTTCCCCAGATACATTTCTCATTCTCCACAATCCATGTCCCTGTTTCCTACTGTGTCTCTTTGATTTTCCTCTTTAAATTACTTATATTTTAGGTCTCTCATAAAAACTATGCGATATTTAACTTTCTATGTCTGATTTATTTTATTTAGCATTATGATCTCCAGATCCACCCTTTTTCCTATAAATGACTCAAATTTAGCCTTCTTTATGGCTGCATGATACTCCATTGTGTATATATATGACATTTTCTTTATCTGCTCATCTGTTAATGGACTTATAGGCTGCTTCCATAATTTAGATATAATGAATTGTACCTCTATAAACACGGATATACCTTCATCTCTATGATGACTTTAACTCTTTCAGGTGGATACACATTTGTAATTCTTTTTTGAGAAGTGTTTATTCATTTCAATTGCCCACTTTTTTTATTGGGTATTTTGTTTTGGAGGTGTAATTTTTTGGACTTTTCTAAATATATTTTAGATAGTAATCTTCTGTCCAAGTAGTAGTGGAAAAATTGTTTTCCCATTCTGTAGGGTGTCTGTTCACTCTGTTATTTGTTTCCTTTGCTGTGCAGAAACTTTTTAATTTGATGTAATCCTATTTGTTGATTCTTGGTATTAAATCTTGTGCAATTTGTGGTTCTGTTCAGGAAGTGGGCATTCAGTTACAAATTTCCATTTAAAATGCTTTCATTGTGTCTCAAAGGTTTGGATATATTATCCTGGCATAGTCATTTGATTCTAGGATCTTTAAAATTTTTCCCTTTTTCCTTTGTGACCCATGGACTATTCAAAAGTGTATTATTTAATGTCCATGTGTTTGCATAGTTGCTGTGATTTCTTTTGCTGTTGATCTTTTGTTTCATTCAGCCATGATCCAATACTGTGGAAGAGATTTATTTCAATTTTTTTGTTTACTTAAGCATGTTTTATGGTCTCTTTTCGAAAAAGTTCCATGTGCTACTAAAAAATGTTGTTGGATATCTGTTAAGTCCATTTGTTCAGTGGTGTGGTTCAACTCTGATATTTCTTTGCTGACATTTTTGTCCTGTTGACCTGCCTATTTGTGAGAGTGAGGTACTGACAACCCCACTATTATTGTATTGGTGTCTATCTGTCTTTTTATGTCCAGTAGTTTTCATTTTATGAAACTGGGTCCACCAACATTTGGTGCTTAAATATTTGCAACTGTTATCCTTTACTATTTAATTTCCCCTTTATCAATGTGTAGTAATCATTTCTTCTCCTCTGATCAGTTTTGTCTGAAAGTCTACTTTGTTCAAAAATAAGATAGCTACTTCTGCTTGTTTTTCAGGCACTGGTTGCATGTAATATCATTTTCCATACTTTCACTTTCCATGTATCTTTTTCTTTGTATATGAGGTGTGTCTCTTGTAAGCAACATACGGTTGGGATTTGATTTTGATCCAATGTGCCAGTCTGTGTCTTTGGATTAGGGAGTTAAAACAATTTTCAATGAGTTATTATTGGCAGGTATTTACTGAATTCTATCATTACATTATTTATCCATTAATTTTGAAGGATAATTTGGCAAGCTACAGTAATCTGGTTTGGTAATAGTTTGTTTGTTTTTTGGGTTTGTTGTTGTTGTTTTGAGGCTTTTGAAATGTCTCTCCAACCTCTTTTGGTCTTTAATGTATGTGTTGAATACTCTGTCATTATTCTGATAGATTTGCCTTTATTATGTACTTGCTGCTTTTCTATAATAGTGTTTAGTTTTGCGTTTTTTTGTGTGCTAACTTCTAAGGTTTTGACTATGATATTTCATGGAAAGATTCCTTCCTGATCATGGTATTTGGATTCTATATGCGTTATTTTCCTTGATATTGAATTCTTCCCCTAAGTGTGGGAAAGTTTCTGCTATGATTTTGGGGAGTACATTTCTTATACATTTAGTGTCATCTTCTAACCTTTTCCTAACTCCTATAATTTTTAGGGGCTTCTTTTTAGTCATCTAGCAGCTGTCAGATCTGGTTTTCACGGTATCTATTTTTTGTGGCGGGGGATATCACTGAGTGCATGATCTCCTACATCTACTTTGTCATTCTATTCTGTCAGTCTTCCCTCAGACTGGTCACTAGCCATACTTTCAACTGAATTTTTCATGTACAAGATTTCTGCTTATTTTCATAATCTGTAATTCTTTTTTTAAAAAAATAATCTCTAATTCTTAAGATTGTTCTCTTTAATTCAACTTTTTTTTTTCTCTTTTGTAAACTCATTAAACATTTTATTAATTACATCTTTCATCTATTTATTTAAATTCCCTTAAAGCTTACTGAAGATCATATGCATTTGCTCACTAGTTTCTCTTTTGATTTCTTTAAACATTTTAACCATTTGGTTTTTGAATTCTTGTGTTAATTCCTCCATTTTGTGAGATCAGCTTTTGGAGGAATTAAGAGTTTTTGGAGGCATCTTATTACTTTGTTTTCTCATGTTTCCATTGTTTTTGTGCTGAGAGTTGAGGATTAGTTGAGGTTGTAAAACTTGCTATTGTGGATATTTCTTTAGTCAATTATTTCTCCCTGTGATGTGACTTTGGTTTTGTTCAGTCTTGATGGTTATGTACCTATTCAACCTACTCAACGTAATAGGATCAGTCCCAGTAACTCTGTTGTAAGGAGAAAATTACTGCTGCCCTTTAGCATCTACAAAACCCATAACCCAGAAATACTGTGATGATAAATACTGATGATGAGTAGGCTGGTGCATAGAGGATAGGGGAAGGAAAAGGGAGGAAGAAAACAGTTCAGAGGGAAGGGAAGGAGAAGAAAATATAAGATAAAATGAAAGAAAAAAGAGATAGGACTCTGGTGACATTATTTTTATGCCTGGAATGTAGGGTACAGATTGTAATGGTTTGAGAGGTTATTTGCAAGGACAAGGAAAAGAAAGTATCACTGAGGGAAGGTGCAAGAAAGTCTGAATCTCTTCATATTCTGATAGACACCTCGTGTTTAAATCCTCCACATAGGACCTGTAGTGAGGGTTAACCTCACGTGCCCATGAAATACAATATCTAAACTAAATCACTAATGAACTGTTTTTCTCCATCGCACATATACAAAAACTTCTCATATATAAAACAAAAAGAGAGGCAAAAAAAAAAAAGAAAAACACACACACATATACATACAAAAACACAAAAGTGAAGAGTCTTCTCAGTCCTATTCATACTTCAGTCTGAATTTGACCAGGGTGCTTGTCCCTCTTAGTTAAAAAATGAAGAGACTATGTTTTGTAGCAGTTTGCTGGGCTCAGCTCCAGGCTTCTGTGGTTGTGCTTGAGCTAGCTTTGCTCCTATATTTGTTTTCTTGCCTAGCAGTGAGCGAAGGGGTTTGGGGGTCTGGATAGACTGTGGAGCCTGCTTCTTGTTCCCTTTGCTGACACAGATCTGTTAGGTTTTAGCTGTGCTCCCGTGGGCATGACTAGCTAGAGGTTTCTGTCTATCTTATGATCAGGCACCTTCAACTGTAGGATGGGCACAGACAGCAAACTGGTCAGGCACCTGGTCTCTGCTGGTCTCTGTGGGGGTGGAGGTTCCTTGATCTCTATCCCTTTCCCTTTGCAAAAATCCCTGCAGCGGCTATGTTCGTCCTCTCTACATCTCTCCTGGTGAGCGAGCCTGCTCCTTTATATCTTAATGATTTGTAAAACATCACCTAAATTACACTCTCAATCTCTGGAAATCTTCAAAACCTTAGGGCAAACAAGTTCATTTCAATCAGAAAGAAATGTTTGCTAGGTTAAATGAGAAAAATTATTGTCAAATTTCAAAACCAAATAGTTTTATAATTAAACAAACCACCTTATAATTAATTATAATCTAATCATAAGTACTTTAAAAAAGCTTTTTTCTTTTAATTTAAAATAAATTCTACAAAATAATAATACATATGTGTCTTTCAAAGCCATGGTTGAAAAAGTGCCTGTAAGTTTCTTTCTCATAGCTCAGACGTCCTCCAGTCTATCCTGCATCCAGGTGGACATGCAAAGCTTCTGAAACTTCCAAAAGGCGTTGCTAACTTTACTTCCCTGTCTGCTTTCACTTCCTAAGATAAGAATAGAAAGAGCATGGTAGCCTCTGCTCCTACAAATAAAAAAAACTTCATCAGATGCTATGGCTTACTTCTCTCCTTTGACTTATTTTCCTTTCTGAGAATTACGGTTTTATATTTCATTGTAGCTTCTCTAGAGGTCATTACAGCTAAAAAAAAAAAATTGTTCATGAAATGAATTAGGATTTGGGATCAAAGGTTTTTAAATTTCATTGTGTGTAAGAATCATCCAGAAGCCTGCTTGGTGGAATGTGCCACAGATCCCTGCTGAATATTTGTTGATGAATAAATGAGTACCTTCAGCAAGGACTATTGGTAGCCAACATAAACAGTAGCTAGCACCTTCAAAGACAATCTGGGTGAAATGCTTTGCTAAAATATTTGCGATTATTTTATCAAAGAATTATAATCATAGGATAGAGCACTGAAATGTAAACATTTCCAGACATTTTAACTATGCATCAATTAAGTTAATGAGCAGCGACTTACCAAGGTGATTGTAGGAAAGGCTGTCATTGAGAATGAGAATTTTGTGACCATGCAGGATTTTAACGATACTTCTAGTTTCTGTCTGGTATAAATCATAGCTTGTGGTGGTTATTACAATCTCTTCTCCCTCCTTAGAAAAAGTCGAATGGCAAATTCAAGAACAATTTTAAAAGTAGGCTTACATTCTTAAAAAGAACCATTAAATAATTCTAATTTAATTTATATATGATAAGCAATCATGGTATTATCAAAATAAATGGCACATAGACATACACTGTACATTTAGATTTTTATATGTTGTGTTTGATATTAAGAATTCTAAATTGAGAATTTACCAATTTTATTCTAATAAAAACTCTCACTTAATATGGCACTATTTGAATATCACTAGGCCATGGCATTTTTTTCTTTCCAAATCTTTAATGTGTAAAATCATGAATTAGAAGTGAGAAGATAACCAATACAATAGTAAAGTTCATTTAAAATAGTCCCATTGTCCCTTTTGCAAGAATTTGTATGTAAATTTTTTAGTCAGAAACTCTCATATTTTTGTTTTATAATCAGTTGCATAGAGGGTGTTTTCTACATATTACGAAGGACCTTTGAGATCATAATTTTTAAATGCATGCTGCTCTTACATCATATTTTGGAAGCTAACTGTAAAATGTTCATTTCTCATCTAGTTAATCATTTGAGAATGTAAATGCCCACAAGAATAGAGAAGAACCCTTTTTAAGTGGATTTTGTATATTCATTTTGCACCACACAATAATTTCTCTACCTTCCAATCCACAGCATCTGTCAGAGACAGAACTCTGGAACCTGCCTCTGCAGTTTCTGATAGTTTAGTTTTATATATTAAATGTGGAAGTCCATGAAGATCCAGCTCACCAAACACCCCTGAAAGGAGGAAAGCATTGCTAGTTACTCATCACACAGTAATAATCAGGTGTTATTACAAAACAAAACTGTTCATTGATACACTTTAATAATAATCAGTTCAACATTTCAGAATGAATGAAATGAATTGAGATTATCTGGTCAGAACTGAACAAGAAAGTTTTGACCTTTGATTTGCTTCTAGGAATCAGGTCCATAGAAAATCAATCCAATATAAAGGATACACAAATCAGTATATTTACCACAACAATATTAAAAAACTGAAATTAATCAAAGTATACATTGATAAGTGAGTGATGAAATAAATTTCAGTGTATTAATACTGTTCAGTAATATTCCGTAAGAATTGATCTGAAAAGATGTCCATGGTATGCTAGCTGAGAAAAGAAAAATCCATAGCAATCTATCTAGTTTAATCGTGTTTTAACAAAAGGAAACATTCTACTTACTAATCAGTGTCTAACATAAATAAAGGCATAGATAAAAACCATGGGAAAATATCAGTTGTTAACTAATGTTAGTTTCCTCAAGGAGGGTAGAATTGGAAAGATATTTTTTCTTGATGCTTTTCTGTGTCACTCGAAGAGTCACTTTTGCAAATAAAAAATAAACACATACATTCAAATATTTTGTCTAGGATTGAATTTGTCTGTCTCCGGACATTGGCCCCTGGAGAGCTTAATAACTCAATCTTGAGCTATTTTGACTGGGTGTCAGTTTTACAAATTGTACAGTGGACCAATGCTTATATGTGACTTCTAAGTAAATATGCAGCAATATTAATAACTAATCATTATTAGTTGTAATCTAATTAAAACTCTTTCAGGTCCTTTGCTTTCCAGGCTCACTTAGGGATATGCACAGCACACCAATGCACCTCGGAAAGTAAGGCTTAGCCACAGCTCAGATGGAGCAGGTACAAGTCAGGGATTATTTACTAAGACTGTAAGTGGTATGACGTGCAGGACAGTGGTCTTTTAAGGGAAAAGAACTGAGAAAACTATTGCTTTGATAGAAGAAAGATTATGAAGAAAACCAGATCAGAGACATAATGTGGAATTTTAGCTTTTTAATAAATTACATTTTGGTTTAAAATATACACATCTGTATGTATTTCTATCTATAATGTCATATTGTTTAATTTTTTAAAAAATCTCTGCTTTTATAAGCCTTTATTACAAATAAATGTTTATAAAAGCTTCTCATATCATACTATTGGAAACTAAGTACTTCACTCAGTGCTGTACTTTTCACAGCAGACTCTCAAAACTGCCAGATCACCTTTGATATCAGAGCACATACCTAGAACCTTTGCTCCTTGATTTGGTCCTCCTGGAAGAGCCCATTCTGGGGTAGAATGATTTCCTCGAAGCACAATGTGTAATTCTCCTCTAAAAGGATTATCTTCCCAGCCACCAATTAATCTACCTCCCTGCAGTGAAGCAGAGAATTGCTAATACTTAAAAGACTGAGCAGAGAAAAATTCACCCACAAAAAAGGAACTCAGCAGTCACTGGAAGCCTTCCTTCTCAGAAATGAAGGCATTTTGTTATAACACTATTGCAGCCAGAAGTGACTTTAACCCATTTACTTAGGGACAAGCAGTCCCAGATGATGTTCCCAAGGTCAAATTCAATATTTTGCTTTAACTTTATATTTTAGTAGTAAATATTCATCATACATATTGATCACATTCATCATAGGGAATTTGTTTTTGTACATAATATATCTTGCTACTTTTTTATTCCCTTTCCCCTCCCCATTCCTTTAACCTTTCTTCCTCTCCCCAACTGATGTAAAATTGAGTAGTGTTTAACCAGATCACAGTGTATTTGGATGCCATATACAAGATATCCTCTTCATGTCCAAGCTATGCCATTTATGAGCCATGATTGTTAATAACAGCTTTCATTAACTACCTGCTGATTTTATGTCAGACGTATCATTACATAGTTTAAACTCTACACTGAACTCATAACTCTGTAATTATATTCTTATTTCATAGGTAAGAAAGCTGATACTGAAAGAAGTAACTTACCCTAGGTTATGCAACAACAAACAGTGAAGTAAGTGTTCAAATTTAGCTTTACTTTACCTCAAAGCTCATACACCTGCCCACAAAATATCACACCCTTCAAAGCATCTAAGACTAGGTTTCTGGACTTTTCTAGAAGAAAAGCTACCACTTTTTAAAAATGGTACTAAGTAGTTTTTTGGTTAGGCCATTCTTTTTCATGAACAATAATAAATGATGACAGAACAATTAAACTGATTAAGCAGTTAATGTGCTCACCACCCATCTGAGGTTTGTGAAAAAATGAGGGGATTGTTCCAAATGGAAACATTTTATTCATCCACTCTGGCTTTCATAATTCCATTTATATTCATTTGTGTTAAAAAAAATACCGTTTGTATTCTAAAGATTTAAATTCTTTTAAATCCTTTCCCCAAACTCCTAAGGATTCCTTGTTGGAGCAAGCTCATTGTTTAGCTTTACCAATAAACAACACAAATATTTTAAGTAGAATTCAAACTAGGCAAACCTTATACTTAAGAGTAAGTATCTTGAGGGCCGGGGATTTAGCTCAGTGGTTTCGCCACCTGCTGCGCAAGCGCAAGGACCGGAGTTCGATCCCCGGTACCAAAAAAGAAAACAAAAAAGTATCTTGATAATTACTCTTTAAGGAAAGTTGAGTCTGAAATTTAAAAGAGAGCAGAAATACACTGAATTTACCCAAGTCTCTCATTTCATGAGCTAGAGCAGTGCTATTTTTCACTCAAAGCAAAAGAATATGCTTTCTTAATACTATTTCAATAAACCTACCTCTCAGACTTTGATTAGTAAGGGCATCATTACAAGAGTTCATTCTTACCTGCACGGATATGTAGGTGGCATTCAAAACAACTGTCCTGTAAGAGGGTTCCGCAGCTCCATCACTGGATTTATCTTCAAGTTCCAGAACTCCCCAGACAAGGAGCCTTTCCATGGGGGGCAAATCTATGTCAGCTACAATCCATGTTCCTACAAAACAGTACTGTAAGAAGTACAACCCGAACTGTGGTCTGTGATAAAACATTGACAAGCTTTTTGGTGAGTCCTACTTTTGAAATTTATGGTCCATCTTTCCACATAGTGAGCGAGTTCTGTCTTTCCCAGAAAATCTACTATTGTGATTTTTTTTTTCCTTTTCCTCTTTGAGATGAGACCTTGTTACATTGGACTCCTGGGCACAAACGATTCTTGTGCCTCAGTTTCCCGAGTAGATGGAGCTCAGGTATGAGATACCACACCCAGCTTATGTTATTGCTATCATCAGGTTTAAACCCACATAAAACCACAGAGGCTATATTTTGAATCCAGGGATGATAATGAAATCTGTTTCCTCACATTGGCTCTTTCCCCAAGGTGCACAGAATAAAAGTGGAACCCTAACTCCTGAGGCAGCCATCCTGTGACAGCATTAAGATTACACAAAGACAAGCATTTAAGCCATTTATATTTGTATTTTTACCTTCGGGAATAACTACGTGTGCTCCAGGGTGCGGTACAGTATAATTATTTTCTTGAGATGATTGCCAAAAAGAATGATTTGACCATAAACTGAAAAAAGAAGAAAAAATTTCCATGAACTATTATCACTGCATATCTAATGGGCATCTCCTTAGGGTGTAGCATTACAGAAGACGCTTTGGGAATGACAGAATGTGAATTGGGTAGTTGATAATTTCACTAAAGAGACAAGCCAACATGCATAATTAGTAAAATATTCTCCAAACACACATCACATATATAGTTTTTTATTCTGTTGTAGGGAATTTCCTTCTGCAGGTCTGCATCCAGAACGAAGGCTGTGTTCAATTTAAATAAAGATGGAAAGTGAATTGGAAGAGAGACAGCCGTACTCTCTTCTTCACTACGCCTTTCGGGAACTAACTTTTAATGAAAATTGTTGTAAAGGATTAATTATAAAACTGATGATATTTTCCTATTGGGAAATGTTCATTCTCAGAGATTGTTCTCCTGATTCGGTTGAAAAAATAAATTTCTGAGATACTAGTACTGGAATTTTATAAAAGGACCAATATAAAATTTGGTTACAATGTGTGTCTTTATCACACACTTGTATTACTAAATTGCACTATTAAGGACTCTTGACTAAAAACATTCTCATAAAAATTGTAATTTTTAAATGAGGCTAGCAGTTAAAGAGTTATTTGGACTTACAATTCTACATAATTTTTTGGAAATAATTTCTATGATTTTTTTTTTTTTTGGATCCTGGGAATTGAACCTCGGGCTAACATTTAGCTACATTTCTGGCTTCTTTTTGAAAATTTTATCTTGGGACCGGGGCTCACTGAGTTACACAGGCCAACCTCAAACTTGCAAGCTTCATACTTCAGCCTCTCAGGTAGCTGAGATCACAGATGTGTGCCACAGCGCATCATCACAAAGGAAAGACTTCCTAAAGGGCTGTACCTGTCCAACGAAGCGATTAGCATCATACATATTCAATGATACATTTTATCCACTTTCTCTCAACAGTTTTCTTAACAATTCTATCTTCCTAGCCCCATCAGCACCACCATGATCCCTGTGCATGTTATGCATGTTTCTTATTTCCCATTGTTACGATCAATAGGGCCCAATCCCTCTTAAACTAGGCATTTGGGTTGTGCAGCTGGAGCTTCATATTCTAATCCTAAGGTATCAGCTCTGCAGCAAAATTCTGTTTGTTTTTGCTGATATCTATCTGACTAATAAAGATGAATCAAATTATAGCCATTTTCAGTAAGGAAAGTTCATACTGTAGAAAGGGGGGTCTATATCATGACATATGCATTAACTCATTATCACACACTTACATTACAGTGTGGTCCACATCAATCTACATCTGTTATGGTAGTCGTAATAAATGCTAATTATGGAAATTACATCTCCCTTAGATTGTATAAGGGTACTGGAGTCAATAACCTTGATGACTCCCATCTTTTACAAAGCTCTCCAGTGTCTTGTAACACATCTCCTTACTTTAACTCACTGTCTTTCATAATACACACTCCAGAAAGTTGCAAAAGTGGTCTTCTTGAATTGTAATTTAGAGTCTGTGGCTTCTTAGTTGAACATCGCTGAAAGCTTTCCCTTATTTCTAACTACCATCACATGATATGAATGGTCTGACTTCTATCTGCTTCCAACCTTTTCTCCAGACTATTCTCCCTTGCTCCCAAGATCCAGGCAGGGTGAGTTTATCTCAGGTCCTAGACAGGAGTTTAAGAACATGAAACAAGTTGTTTCACAAGATTTGCCTATGGTGGTTATTATAGAGAAAGTGATAACACTTGCTAAGAAAACACTGGGTTGTGTCAAGAAAGATTATGTCAAGAATTATCAAGGGTACTAACTACAAAAGATCTACATACTTATAAGTGGCCGGCCGCTTCCTGGGAATGGGTTTTCTTGATGGGGAATGGACAGGAAAGCAATCCTGGAGACTACAACAGTAAGCTTGGAAATTGATAACAACATCTTTCACATCAGGATCCAGGGTCCCAGAAATGGACTGGCTCTGTTGAAGGTCATGTCTTCCTGACACTGAGAGCAAAGCAAAGATGGTGATCAAAGGGCTTGAATGTGAACAGAGTCATAACATTTTGGAAAATACACTTCAGATAGAAACTTGGTATAAGCCAAATATTGGACCAGGAATGGAGAAACTCCAACAAAGTGTATGTTTCATTAAGAAGTATACACAGTCAGGCCGGGGATGTATCTCAGTGGTTCCACCTCTGCCTCACAAGCGCAAGGTCCTGAGTTCAATCCCCAGTACCAAAAAAAAAAGTATACATAGTCAAACTATCTTGACAAAAATGAATGCTTTAGAATTTAATTTAAATCTATTTATATGCATTTTTCCTTTCCAAAAATAATTAAATAACAAAATGGGAACAACATTTATACCAGGTTATCCTGCATTCTTTTTATTCTCCTTTGGTGAAGTAAAATTATCAGGACCAGGTGTAGGCATGTTGTTGTTATTTCCAATAATAAACTGTAAGTTCTTAATTTAATTAAACTAAAGCCCTTTTCTCATAGAAATTTAGTCTCTAGTCCTATCATTAAACAAATATTTATTACGTCCTACCAATACAGGGCCCTGTATAACATATTAAGCAATTTTTCTCATCCATAAGAGAAAGCATTGGAAGAAATAATCAGTTCTGCCTGATAAATTCTTACCCAAGTAATATAGAGTACTAGTGTTTGCATCAAGATGCCAGTCTCCATTCTTGCTGGTATTCCAGTTCAATGGATTTGAAGAACCATTCCTCACATCAATTACACTAAACATAACAGGATTTTGAGTGAAGTTATGTGATATAATTACATAGTCTTCTTCCTATAAAAGTTTGTAGAAAAATGAGACTTGTATATATTAGCACTGTGCATAATATACATTTAATGTTAATGACATATAATTTAGCTACTGTTTGTATCACAACAAAAGTTTTTGTTTTCAATTTATTTTTATTTTGCATTTAAATGTTGTTTATTAACATTTTACAGTCTACGGCAATATGCTACCTCTAAGAGTAAGGTAATGAAAAGACCCCTCTGTCTCTGTTTTTCTCTCTATTTACATACACACTCACATACACACACTTATATATGTAAGTAGCCATGTATGAATGTATGTATTTAAAGAGACTATTTTATTTTTATAGTGTTTGAAAATACTTAAAACAATACTATATAGAGTTTGGGGGCTGTAGAAATATGCAGCATAAGCAGAAGAACACATATGGAAAGAAAGCACCCAATTCAGGATACTGGTTACCATTAGAAGTGGAGAATGGAGGATGGGATGAGGTAAACCATGAAGGATTTTCTCTCATCGTAATAAGTGTGAGTTATTTTTGTGGGAACAATAACAAGGACACAAGCATTGTATTCTAGGAATGTGGCAGAAAGTTTGCCAACTTCTGACTGTCAAATGGGGTTCTTCCAGCTTACTTCTCAGGTTGAGAGCAGGTCATGGCAAGTGTGCAGTGCCTTCTGGGCCAGATGATGGGTGTGTGTAAGCAGGAGAGGGTGGGCTGTGGTGGACTTGCAAGCACAGTTGTTGGATGGCAGATGGTACAGCTCTCCATTTACCTTAAATCCATAGAATGTTGATGTGTATGATATATTGGTTATGTGACCCACATCCTTAAAGTACCAGTTAATGTGATTTGCATTTGGAATCAATGCCATCCATCCAGACATATGAGTCAGTCGTTTCTTCTGAAAGGGAACAATACTTGTGCCTGGAGAAGAACATAGACAAGCAAATATTAGTAATCTCTACCTGTAGGAAATTCCTCCTTGTATAAACAAGTGAAATTGTAAAATATTGGTTTAGTCTATGGAAGCCTCTTAAAAGGAATTTCATTACCTTTATTCAAAATGTCTTTGTTTAACTGAAAGCCTCAAATGTTAAATATTACATTTAACTGAAACATAAAATGGCTCTTCACTTGGTATTGTGAATTGCTATGGAGATTTTACTCCTTAGGAAAATTTGTAATTAAAAGATGATGGTAATTATAACTACTAAGACAAAAGTGTTTAAATGTATGAATACAGTTCTTTAAATATCATTGACTTAAACTTAATTATTTTTTCCATTCTTTAAGAATTTAATTCTTTAGAATCTTTGATTTGCAGAGTATGTAAACATGAGTTCTGATTCCCTATCTTTTGGGCTAATCAAAATCTATGTAACAATACTAATTTTTGGTAATAAATACTTTTTTGGTGTCTAATGAAGTTTTGAGTTTTAAGTTTCCTCTTGAAAAATTAAACTACAATTTGTCCTATCACTTCTTAACACTGGCCATTAGGTATAAATTTTGTGGACAAGAAACTTGGAACCTGACCTACGTGTTATGGAAAAAACTACAAAATTTAGTCATGCCTTTGGCCTGAGAGTGCCTGATGGTTTCAGTACAAGATTTGAAAAGGTCTCTAATAATATGAAGAAAAGGTCTTAATAAATTGCCCCTAGTTTTTCATTTTCCTTTGCTTTTTCTGTCTGTAATATGGGTTAGATTTTATGTGAAATTATTAACTTTTTATTTAAAAATTTTAGGAGAATATTATAAAAACCTTGTCATTCATTTCTATTGAGAATAAAATAATTTCTAGTATCAAGGGGAGACAGTTTTACTAGGATAATTACTGTTAGTTTTCAAAGGTTCCTGAACAGAGAGGCACTAAAACCTTGCAGTACCAAAAATCACTGAAAAGTGTGAAAAGAATTACAATCGTTTGCATTATCGTTCAGCAGATATTCATTCCTCTCCTCCTCAGAGACAAAGCAGACTTCCCTCTTCTGTTGACATGGGGTGACTTCTTTTGCCCACAGGGACCTCAGCAGACTGACCCTAGCAAAGGCTGAGAAGTGCTTCCCACGGAAGAGCTCCCTAGTTAGCTGCTCCCTCTGGGCTGCAGGTGGAGCACCCCAGGCTCAGCCCTTGGGAAGGAGGGAGGCTCAGTGGATGCTCACTCTGAAACATAGCCTCCCCTGAGTCCAGTGTGGTCACCAACTCCGCCCTCAGACTTGTGAGTGAAAAGAAATGACTACAGCTTTAAGGTACTGTGCTGCAGGCCCCTCTGTGGGGAAGCAATAGCCAACTTAGAGAAGAGCTGATCAATGTCCTCCAGAACATCGGAACTGGCTCCTACTTCGGCAGAACCAAACTCCCCTGAAGTTTCCTAATGGATGCAATTATACCTTAACCTTACTTTTCTTGATAATTCTGTCTCACAAATAAAATAAATTTTCATTTCTCTTAGTATTTGGGCTTTTCTTAATCAGTTTTAATTGCACACAATTTAGTACTTTGAGTTTAAGCATCTTGGGTTGAAATATAAGCTCTTTGAAGTTGATTTAAAATATAATAACACAGATAAGTGTCTCAAATTATTTTGTCATATGGTCTAACTTTACACATATGTATTTACACAGAGATACATCACCGTGTGAGATGCTTTGAGAAGGGTATATCAGGATATGTGTGAAGTTATATTAAATTATGTTTCTCATTGTTCTAATATACATTTTAAATTTTGCTTTCCTTAGTTTAAATTTACAACCAAAACAGGTGATAGTTTTGTTTTTAAGTTGTAGTAGTCAATAATTTTGTTTGATTTTAATGGAGATGAAATAAAAATAGTCACTGACCTTGTTATGAAGTGGATCTTTTCGTGTCATATTAAGTAATACAGTGCCTGGCACAATGATTTTTCTATTTTGCAATTTGGTCTGAGTATTCCAACTAATTCCATCTACTTCAGTAGTATTGAATCCCTACCACTTGCAATATTTTGTGTTGAGTTTTGTGAATGTCAGAAAGATGTTAACACATTTTTCCCTCTAGATTTTCATAGCTTAGTAACTAAATAAAAGTCTTAATTCTTGAATGGAATAGGCCAAGAGGTCAGAGAGACTTTACAAGAAAGCTATAATCTCATAAATTCAGAAATACAAGACTTCTTGAATCTAAAAGCCAAAAATAAAAATTTATGATCAAAAGCTTCTCCCTAAAATCACTGCCATCAGCATCAATAATAAAAAGACAAACTAGAGATTCCATATGTTTATATCTTTCTGTTTAAAAATTAATAAAGGCATATATCATCATATATATGGTGGCACATCTCCAAGTTCTCTGAAATTGTGTATTTTAACTCATGTTTTGTAAAATGCTAACAATATTCAGTCTATTCACAGCTCTCCTATAAAGTCCCTCAATTACTAAATTTCTTATCATAAAAACTATTTTACGACACAATAATGGGAAAAAATAAATTATTTCATTAGATAAAAAGTACTTCACTTATTTTTGATATTTCAGTTACTCTTTTTGTTTAGCCTGCCAGTTTTTAATTGAAGGAAAACATTCATAATTACTCCACTTAAACATAGTTCATTGTACCACAGTCTCTAAAAGCATAAGTAATACTGCACCACTCTGAACACTTGTATATCAGAAGAAAAATGATGACTTCTAGGTTTATGCCAGGAAGCAACTGAGGAGGTAGATAGAGTGATTTACTCTAAGAGTTGATATATGACACATTGAGTCATAGGAGGAAAAAAAATCTCAGTATGAGTGTTTTAAAATTAAATCTAATAACTTACAACATCATAATAGATTATGGAATTGGTGCTTCATACTGGCTTCCTCTAAAGATCAACTATTTCCAGTCCTGTCCTGCTCCCTTGGATTCTGGCTTCTGGTTGGGTTTGAACAATGACAAACACAAAAAAGAGACGAGAGAGAAAAAGAAAGGTGGCAGTGAGGCCTCATTCCTCTAACTCTCTCCTGGGGGTTAGATGGAGGTTCTTAGTGGGCTCCTGGATTTCTTAACCATTGATTGGCACAGCTTCTGGGAGTCAGCTCACTTCAAACAGCTGCCTCTAACGCTGGCCTCCTGTAAATGTTCCTTCCTATCACCTTTCCAGACTAGCAGTGGTAACAGAATCTTTCTTCCACTAGTACTTTGAATTGCTCTGTGGTGCATTTTTCCCTGGATGAGGACGACACTGGTGCAGGATCCTTGCAATGACGTTGACTTCGCAGATCACAGTAAGAATAATGGATGCCAAAAGTGGCAAGAGGCAGTGCTTAACCATCAGACAGAGGGTTAAGGTTAATTAGCACAACAACTACTGGCCAGGGGAATGATCTGGGGGAATCTGTGATGATAGCTGATTGACATGTGGATTCCTAAAATTGATATTTGATAAATTGTACACAGAAAGAAGAATGACAGACGTCTTGGGGGACAGAAATCTAACTCAAGTTATTCAAGTGGAAATTCACTGCTTCTTACTTATTTCTCACATCCAGGACAATTCACAGGCAATGCATACACCACTGATGGGAAGGAATCTGTAGCTATTTTAAAACCGCTGTGCTAAAATTTGTTAGCCAGCTAGAGTGGGAGCTTCCGAAGGTCGGGTGACAGAGTGAGTCTTTGCTGGGTCTCACAGCCAGTCTAGTGGGGTCATGGGTCCAACTAATGGCTGTTTCTCCAGTTCCCCAATGTGTAGTGAGAGTAGACACAGCAGTGTGCTTGAAACAAGAACAGAACTTGGAATTTTTGTAAGAGGTTTCTTAATAAAAGAATATAATAATATGGAGTAGAATAATAAAATTCCAGCATGTTCTGATGGATTTGACACTTGGTAATTTTAGCAGTTATCATGTTGCTGGGGCAGTCATGTAACACATCTTCAAAATTTAGTTAGTTTGTATTGATTACATGACTTTATTTTAAATTGCAAGTCTGTACCTTGTAAATATCACTGCACAGGGGAAATCTGGAAATATTTATAACATTTTAAAGTAACATTATGAAAGTATTTTCAATATATTAAAGAATAGTAAATATTGAAACTATAAGAGAACAAAAAGTGCATTTGGGTGCTGTTGATAAAGTTTCTATATGTTTCTTTATTATGTGTTCAGATTATGCTTTAATATTATAATTGTGTATATTGTTATCAAGAAGCTATATAATTTAAGGGCTGGGGATTTAGCTCAGTGGTTCCGGTGCCTGCCTCGCAAGTGCAAGGTCCCGAGTTCAATCCCCGGTACCAAAAAAAAGAAAGAAGCTATATAATTTAGATTTACCCAGAAAATGTAGAAAATCTTATTTGATAATGACATAATAATTTTGCTTAGCAGATCTTTGATTTGTCGGTGCTTTTTTCTACTTTGCAGAATCTACAGTCCATCAGAACAGTGAGTAGATTCATTGCAGATACTAACTAATACAAGTGGCCCATGACTGCTGATGGTTTGACTTAACAACTTTTGGATGTCACAATGGTTCATAATAATAACTTATTATTCAATTAATTATGTGAGATATCAAAAACTTTATTATACATAGGCTTTGTGTTAGGTGATGTTGCCCAACTGGAAGCTAATATATGTGTCCTGAGCATATTTTAGGTAAGCTGGACTAAGCTATCATGTTTAGTATAGTAGGTGGATTAAATGCATTTTCAACTTACAGTATTTTCAACTTGTGATAAGTTTATCAAGACCAAACCCTTACTATAAGCCAAAGAGCATCAGTAATTCCTAGATAGATGGATAACTACATGGATCAAATTATATATATATATATATATATATATATATATATATATATATATATATATATATGAGAGAGAGAGAGAGAGACAGTCAGAGTAGGCTAGGTCAGGTGTAACAGGAACAGACATGCTTAGTAACTGGGAGATTTCCCACATTGGTTCCCTGACTAATGAAGTGAGGGAAAACCTGTATAAAGAACTAAGTGACATTCTAGGAACTATGCATCTTCACTGACTAACCAAGATAACTGCTATGGTTTGAATCTGGAATCTCACCCCCTTCCCCATGTATGAGAGGCTTGGTCCCAGGGAATGCTACTGGGAGGCAGTGGAACTTTAATAGATGGAGCCTAGTGGTAGGTATTTGGGTCACTGAGAAAATACTCTCAGAGTGTATTGAGGGACTCTGGTCTCTTCCTTTCTCTCTTCTGTATCCTAGCCAGGAGGTGAATGGCTTTGTGCTACCATTTCATACCCACCATGACATGCTGCTTTGCCACAGCCCAAAAACAATAAGGTCAACTGATCATTGCTTTTAAATCTTCAAAACTATGAGCCAAAATAAGCCTTTTCTCTTTATAAGTTGACTACCTCAGATTTTTGTTATAGTAATAGAAAGCTGATTAACACAATAATGAACTAAAAGCAATTCCAGATCTTTGAGGGGGGAAATATAGAGATTAATACAATAGTCAAAATATTTGAGCGATATTAAGATCAGAATTCTCATCACAGCTTCATTTAGCTTTCTTTCCAACTGGTGAAAATGTTATGTGCATGGTGAAAAATGACAGAAAATTAAAAGAACCTACTCAGGGAAAGATGTCAGGTATATCTAATGTTCTAGGTACAGTGTCTTTACTGGTATAAACCAGTGAATCAACCAACCTCCATACCTGGCACCTGGTATGCAGCTATTGGCCTGGCAAATGCGCTCCTCATACCAACTCACTTGGAAAACATAATAAATGTTTGCCTTAAGGGATGAGAATCCTGGTATATTTTTACTGTCTTACTCCACGTCTTTGCCAACTTTTCTGCTTTGTCATATTACTGTCTGGAGGTGTATTAGTCAGCTTTTTCATGGCTGCGACACAATATCTAATACCCACAATTTAAAGAAAGAGAGATTTAATTTGCTCACAGTTTCAGTCCAAGGCAGACATATCACGGCGGAAGGGTGTGGCAGAGCAAAGCTGCTTAGTGGCTGGCAAGCAGAGCAGGGGAACAGTGACAGAGTAGGAGGGACAAGAGGCCAGATACAGATGCCAAGGCCATACCTCCAAGAACCACCCAGACACACCTGAAAGTGTGTGCCGCCACCCCCAGGGGATTCCCTAAAACAATCAAGTTGACACTTCATCCTAACTGCCATAGATTAGAAGCTTCCTGATCAACAGAGTAACGTGCTGGTCCATGCACTTGCTCAGTGCTCCTCAAGCTCTCATTTGGAAAGTGTTGCTTCCTGCCTGGAATCTGACTGATACATGCATTATGCCTCTTCCAATGTTCAAATCATTAAGTAACAACTCAAGAAGATGATGACGAAAGTTTAGTAAAACACATTGAATTTAATTAGTAGTGTAAACTATTACAATCCACTTACCAAAAGAATCCGAAAGAATCACATCCTTTTCAAGTAGCGATATTGGGCAAGGCTTGTTGAAGGCTAAACGGTGGAAGCTCACTGAGGCGTCACAGACGGAGCCAGGGAACCCAATGCTCCACTGGGTTTCCTGAGTGCAATGCGAAGGGTCGAGCAACAGACTGTGTGGAATGACCGTGTGCCCTTTGTGCCCTGGGAATGGAACAGAAGCAAAATGACTTTCATTTTACATTAGAAAACCAAAAACCCATTGTATTACCAGTCAGACCAAAAAGTCTTGGTGTATTTTTGTTTGTTTGCACAAAGCAAGGAAAACTCACGCAAAGGTTCGGTGGTGGAATGCTAACTAACATTAAAAATCTGAGCTGAACATCTCAACCAAGGAAGGCTACACAAGGCTCATATAACAGAAGGATCCAAATGTTCTCCCTCTTAACTATAGCTAAGAGGAGACAGAATTCATCAACTATAGTTGAGAACTCAGTCCACATGAATATTCAGATGAATGTTCTTTCATCTTTTAAAAAATCTTTTAAAAGTCAATTTTTAATAGTTTTAGGTTTACCTGTTGATTAGCTGTCTCTTGAAAATTGTTCAGTAGCACACACACACACATACACACACATCCTTTTTATTTTAGGTAAGTCTATCACTAACAATTTGTAAAGACACTAAGTTCTAGAAACCACAAATATTTATAGACAATGTGACATACCCTGGACTTAATATCTAAAAAATTTAATCTACAATGTATGTTGAATTTCTTTCTAGAGTTAACATATTCCATGAATAAATACAAATTCTGAATTTAAATCAGAAGGAAAAGAGTTAATAGTAGACTTCTCACTTACTCTTTCTCTTTCAAAGTTCTGTATTCTAGCAAGGCTATATTCAGTATGTATTCACTGCTCACATAAATAATCTGAAATTTTTATTTTTATGGAATGTGGCTAGCCAGAGAATTTGTGTAGTCACGAAAGCAGTTTCTTTTCTATGTAATTAACTGAGTATAAAATGTAGGAATTCCAAAACTGAAATTACTTATTTTTTGATCAGTGTTTCCATAATTATTACTCAAAATTTTTTCAAAATCAAAATGTAAATGCAAGAGAAAAGGGGCTTATTGGAGACTGACTCTGTTAGTGTGGGTCTTTTCTAGAAAAGACTGTCTCATCTGTGGCTGATGATTTGCTCGCCTACAGTTTTCAAGTCATTAGTGAAGTTGGGTGCTGGGTAAGATCCGCAGTGCTGGTAGATCTACTTTAACAATTTGATTCTGTATTAACACCAACCTGTTTTCGATGCATTTTTATCACAAATGGAAAGAATAATGTTACCTGTAAGTGAACCATCAACATCAATTAGCACAGCTTCGTGTTCCCATCGAAAGCCACACTTATTTGGTGTGTGAAAATACTGGATGTCAACAAATTTTGCACTCCAACCTCCACATTTATCATGACAAACTCCAGTGATGGAAGTCACTGCCAAAGCTACACAGTTGGGACGGTCAAAGTTCATAAACCGTACAGAAGACACAGTCAAGCCATCACTAAACGGGAGGACCAAGCCCTTTGATGTACAAAATGCAGACCCCATTCCCAGTTCATCAAGATGACCAACAATTTTGGCATTTTTAACCACTGCTCCATTCGTTTCACTCCACCCTCCAACATAAGAAGCCAGGATCCTCTTGGTCTCAATTCCAGCTTCATAGTTATTTACCATCACAAAATTATGGAACTGCAGGGCCCCTCCATTGACCCATTCAGCGCCTTTCTGACAATTCCAAGTAGTAAGTGAATTAAAGACTGCAGGTAGGGGCGCTGTAGAAGTACACGATCCTGTTTTCATGGGGAAGTAGTCTTCAAAGATCCACAGTCCAAACCATCCTTGAGAATGAACAGTATTGTTAAAGAACTCTCCAAGAGGAATTCTTTTTTGGCAAATGTGTGGGTCATAGGATGGTCCGTCAGGGTGGTTGTTCATTCGATACCAAAAGCCAAAGTGAGTGCCTCCAGCAGCTGCATTGTGCCGTATGGTATTGTTCGGGTTGGTCACCCAAAATGCAGCCGGCGTTACATCGTCATTTAGAAGACTAGTGCTCTGCTGTACAAATACTGCCAAGTTATACTGCAGAATATTGCCATGTTCAATACCATCTTCTATAAAAAATGCTCCTCCTTTGATATCATAGATAATATTTCTCTCAACCAGAAGGTGATGTGTGTTATGGATAGTAACAGCTCTGTTATAGGACTGGTGAATTGCACAGTTTCTTACATAAGATTTGAATTGTAAATCTCCGAGTAGGTGCCAATGTATTGGATATCGGCCCAACCGGAAAGCCTGGCCAGCATGAAACACCTGTCAAGATGAGAAATCAGCGCTGTTGGTCAGTTCACACAGACTCAGAACTCGCCTGGCTCCTCTTCTCTGGTTTCAAAATAATCTCCCACTTTTTATCAACTGTTAACTGATTAGTATCTCCCACATCATTCATGTTTGCCATTGGAAAATATTATTTTAACCTTGTTTTACACAATGTATTACAGACCACACTTGTTTGGAAATAAATGATTGAATGAATAAATGAACATAAGCTATCTTTGGCTCTTCTGCTTATTAACCTCTGTGTATTGTTAAACTTCTATGTTTTATAAAATAAAACCTCTTAAAAGACTTCTTTTTCTTTTATACTTCGATTATTACATAAAAAGAAAGACTTTTGAATATCTGCCATGTGCCAAATAGTGTGCTATTGTGTCTTTATATGCATAATTACAGTCTACAATAATCCTACCAAGTCACCACTGACCGTTAACATCATCTCATTGATGCAGAAATCAAGGTTTAGAAAGGATGAGTAGCTTGTTCAGTCATAAAGCTCCATTTAAACCCAAGTTGATCTGACTCTGGAGTAAGCTGTCTTACTGACCACTCTGCTATGCATTCTCTCAAATGTCTATGATATGATACTCTAATATGGAAAATGCTAATCTATGTGAATGTGCACGTGTGGTTTAATATGTGTTTAAGAAGATAAAATACTGGATCATCTATTTTCATTCCCCTTCTAAAACTAAAAAAGTAACTATTACTAATATTTAATATACAGAACTACCCTCATCCAGTTTGTATGTCAGATGTCATCCGTGTGCAATGTGTTTTAGGAGGAAAGAAGTACCACAAAATGAGAGTGTTGATTCTTTCAGTATCAGTGCAGGCTAGGAGTGCCCAGGATGGTTTTATAGATTTTAGCTTTTATTTTTTCCCTTCCTTCCCTTCCCTTCCCTCCTTCCTTCCTCCTTTCCAATTTTACTGAATATTTGATAAGAACTAGACTAGACTCTGAGTAAGTCTTAATAAGATACAGAAGAGCTCCTAAAATCTTAGAGATACATACACACTCATTTATTTATCTGTGTGTTTGTTTGATTGTTTAACAAAAATCATTTGAGAAGAAATCCACTACCCACCATGTGCTGTTCTAGCCATAGGCTAATCAGCTGAGAAACCGAAAGCCAAAAGCCTTTGAAACAATTGAGCTTATATTCTACAAGGAGAGATTAAAATTAAACAAAAATAGTTATCACATTACGAGTCTGAGTAAATAAAGGTTAAAAAAAAAGCTGGGGCAAAAATTTCAAATAAAGGTAGTGAGGAAAGGGCTGTCTCCTGAGATGACATTTGAAAAGAGACTAACAGGAATGAGAGTGAGACCCACACAAGTATTCGAGGAAGAGGACCACGAAGACACATTGTAAGCAGAATGCAGAGCAAGTGCAAATAACATGAGACAGGAATGCGCTTGACATAGTCACACAAGGAGACCCCTGTGAGCATGGTGTAAGCAAGGAGTAGTCACGGGAGATGAAGTCAGAGGGCGGTTGGGGTCAGTTCATGTTGGTCCCATGGAAAGGATGTAAACTTTCTCTTTTAGATGCGATAGGAAGCCACTGAAAGGTTTGGAATAGGGATGTAACAAGATCTGATTTAGGCTTTTTGCATTTTACATTGGCTGCATTGTGGAGACAACACGGGAGCACGGGTGGGAGCAGGAAGATGAGTTAGGAAGAAAACACAGTCCTGCAGGTGAGGGGTGATGTGGCTTGAGGCTGAGGATCAGGTGGAGGCAGTGGAAGGAGAGTGGATTCCAGACACGTTACAGTGAACCCTCAAATTACGACCAGCCTGACATAGAAGCGACTTGGGGTTATGACCAGAATTTTAGTTTTACCTTATGGCCAAAGTCTTGAGCTACGACCCAAATGCCAGCTGCTTGTGCTTCCAGATAGTCTCAGATTAAGATTTAATCCTTAAAGGGTTCTGGAAGGAACATTACAACATCCTTTCCTCTGGGGTTAACTGAGAAATCCTGGGCCAGTGTCTCTCTAAGGACACTGAGATCTGCCTGGACACAGGAGAGAGGCTTTGAAGGCCGTGTAGGGGAGCCTGAGCCTTCAGTTGACCAAGCTGAATTACAACCAGCCTTTGAAAAAGAGTTGAGTTCATAAGTCAAGGGTCCACTGTATTTTGTGGGGGTAAGAATAGAATTTGCTGACATAGTTGATATGTGGTGTGAGAAAAACAGAAACAAAATTTTGGCATGATCAAATGGGTTAATAATTGAATGTATTAAAATTGTTCACTTACCCATCTCCCTTATCAGATTTTAAATAGACTATGCCAAACAGCAGGTGTTCAAAGCCCATTCCTTGTATGGATAACTTTAGCTAAACTGCCATGACTTAACAATAATGTCTCTTACCTCTACATACTCTATTCTTCCAGTTACCATGTTAGCACCAGGCAAAGGTGCATGGAACATAATGCATCCTCCAAATTGGTCGCTTCCTATTTCTTCTCCAAATTTTCCTTGGAGACATGTCTGTGTAGCAAATTCACCTGTAAAAATGTCATGAAAGAAAACTGATATTGCAATTCTCTTAATAAAATCTTAAGATTTTTTTCCTCATACCTCATTGTATCTTTCTATTCACATATAATTTCAGTCTCTTCTTGAAGCATAATTACATACATTCACATTATATTCTCTTCCAGACAGTAAGAAAGGTAAGTGGTTTGTCTTGTTTATATTTGCATGCCCTAAAGTAGTTACTGCATATATTTGAGAAGGTACTAAATACATATTTGAATGTTTGATTGAATACTGATAAAGTTATGTTGTTTTATTGTTTCTGAAGCTTTCCCCCCAAATTTGAGAATTAATGCAATCTTGCACTAGAATATGCATTATTGTCACTTAATTCTTACAGTCATAGTCAGTAAGAACAGGAAGTAATATTATTTTAAAGAGTTTGAATCCAGATTCACATACATTGTGAAACTTGATGCAGGAAATCAGAACATGGGCCATTTGACATCAAGCCCAATGAGCTTTGTCTCATACTGAAGAGGTTAATACCTAAGCTGCACCTGCTACTATCTACCTACTTGTAGATTGTATGATATTAATGACTTTATAAACAGAATCAAGGTACACTTATTTCCCCCATTCCAATGTTGACATCAGTTATTTTTCTTCAATATATGGTAAACATATATAATTTTACTTAAAAAAGCTCTGAGCTCTACCAAATTGCCATATTTAGTGTTATTTACAAAGCAGATGAGCTAGTTCAAACTAAAATAATACATTTAAATGTCAACCAAATTTAATTTAGGGTTTGGTATGATTCTATCAGCCACACGACAGCTGCTAAAATTACCTGTGTCAAATCCACTAGGACATGCTGGAATTTTGTTATTCCATTCCACATTCTCAGATCCTCTTATTACAATATTTCTTGTAAGAATTCCAACTTCTGCTCTTGCTTCAAACACAGTTCCATCAGGCAGTGTGACGCTGGTTCCTAGGTGTGTGTGATTCAGTGGCTGAGTGAGTGTGATGTTTACACCATCAGCTGACACAGACGCAATGGTCCTTTCTTCATTTTCTCTTTGACTGTGTCTGTAAAAATTTTAACAAAAAATTTTCAAAGTTAATATAAAGTATCATTTAAAAATCCACTTAGTTTCAGTATTGAGGGGTTTTTTTCCTTCCAGAGTGAGGTTAAGTAAAACTTTAAATAATTATCAGTATATTTAAATGAACATCCACTCAGGTAAAACATTACTGATTCAAAGTGGCTAGCTAAGAAATAGTTGGCGTGTCATCAGTGTATTTAGGGTTAGGTTAAGAGGCACCATCTTGAGTCATATTTTATATGGATTTGACATATTTATTTTATGCCTTTTCAAACACTTCGTTTGTAAAATAAAAAATATGTTGTGCAATTTTCTGAAGACAAATCAAGTGCGGTATTTTACTGTTTCTCAAAATAACTGAATAACTTTTTCACCGATCCATTTCAATTAACTTAAATATTTTCCAGCTGCTGGATTTGTTCACAAAACTGTACTTGCTTCTAAAATGTATTGAAAAGAGCTGTTCATTTATGGACTTTAATGATCATACTCAGAGTTTCTCAGTTGTTGATTTTATACCCTAGAAATACATTTTTGTATGTTTTGTACAAATACATTTTGAGTACATTTTTTGATTGTCATAGCAGGAGGTGCTATTGGCATCTAGTGGGTAGAGACCCTGAAGGTTTTTAAGAATTCTGTAATATAAAGGATGACCCTGCACAACAAAGATTATCTGGCCTAAAATGTTAGTCATATGCAGGTGAGATACCTTGATAAAGGAAAGTCATTGGAGGTTCCTGAGGAAGGAAATCATTAAGTTGAAGTTTACTTCTGTCATTCTTCCAATATACCCATAATCCAGTCATGGCAAAAAGGACTTCCGAATTCCATAATGTACATATTCAGATATTCAATCACTCAACAAACACTGAGTGTTTAGCTTACTTTCTAGGTACAAGGCAAGCACTGGGGATACTGGCGGAAGGACCCCTGGTTTTGAGACAAGTGTGTCAGTAGCTGATTGCGGATCCATTACAGTGTGATCGGTGCTATCCACCCTAAGGTAAGCTTAGGAGAACTGCGTGTGTCTTCCCCACATTCCCTGCGACTCTATTCTCCCTTGCAAATAGTTTTTATCCGTTAGCAGTTCAAGTGAAAGTGCCAGGGTGAAGGAGGTTAGAAGTCAACCCTGCTGGGCTCCCAAAACACAAATGCCCCACTGGGCTCACAGCAGCCTTGTGAGGCGATGGCTTCTCTGTCCTCCCCCTTGCCTGGCTGCTCCTCTAAGCAGGGACACATTGAATCATTTTCTATGCCGAGCACCTAGCACAGTACCTGTCACTTGTCTGGGGAGAAAAGTGGAAGGAAACCTAAATGCGAGGATGATGTGTGAGGGGCTTGAGAGTCCAATTAAACTGAGAGCAGGAAACCGATGAAGAGACCTTTCAAGGGCAGCACTGAAGGAACTTGGAGATGTGCTGAAAATGAGGGAAGATAGTGATCAGAAGGCCACTGAGAAGTTTTGTGAAGAAAAAATTAGACTTCAGGGGTCTCAAGAAAAAAAAAAAGGATAGTAAGGAGGAAATAGATGAAATGGGCATGTAATATTTAGGCAGTTTAATAATTTTTAAAGTAAAGGGTAGCAGTGAAAGAAGGTAAAGGAGATGGAAGGACAAAGTTGTTTTCCAAGATGACGGGTAGTCGGAGAAAACCAGATCCTAAGAATTCCAAGGAAGGAACTGTGGTGGGAGGGGCCGGGAGGAGGTTGAGATTATAGATATTCGTTTGGTGATGTGGGTGATTGTGTATTACAGGATCTCACAGCGGGTCGGAGAAGGGGAGTCAGCCTGTCTTGTCCTGAGTTCTTTAAGATCCAAATGATATTGCATTTTCTTAAACAAAAATGTTCTAAAAGGCATTTCTGTATGCATTGTGCACCTCGATACATTTTTCTTTCCTCTGTAATAATATGTAACACATATAAAACACTTACTCTGAGCCAACTGCTGCTCTGAGTTCTTTGAATTGAAGAACTGAATCCTTACAATAAGTCTATGTGGTAAATACTGAGTGTTGTGATTCTACTGAAGGACAGAGTCAAAATAGCACAGCTTCAGGGCGGGTAAGAGGTATTATTGGGAACAATTAAGTGACTTGAGAAGTGATTTTCTTACTGCTTTACTTTACAAACTCTCAGATATGATTCACCAATGAAACAATGAACAATGAATTATATTTGGTAGAAAACTCACTAGTGCTTGATAAGAATTCTTAATTTTTTAAAAGTAAATAGCTCTGTGCTAAATTATAAACTTAGGCTTTTGTTCCCTAGAGAAAGGTTATGAATGAAGATTTTCTATTCTATTAATAAGCCTGTGATTTTCTTCCTTTTTAATTTTGTCATTATACAATTAAGATTTCTTCCAATGGCAGAAAAAATGGGCACTTGCAAAGCTAAGCATATCTTTAACTCTTCTAACATCTGCGGCTCTATTTTTAAATTGGAAAACAGCAAACTCAAAATGTTATCTCGAATTTTTATTTTAAATTGAGTCATGACCTTAACATATCTGTTTCTTATCATAAATTACTATTTGTTTCCTGATATTATCTGTAATTTGAACATTAAAGCAAAAACAAGTCTCCTCTTTGCCCTACTCCCTGGCATAACTATATTAAAATTTAAAATTTTTTCATAGTTATTAAAATATAAATGAAACAGAAATTAAGGGTCACAAGCAGTTTCCATTTTAATGTCAGACACCTAAAAGGTTATGTCAATCATCAGTCTTTCAATAATGATTTCCTCCCTTTTACTTATGAAGAAAATTTTGTTCCCTGGGAACAACTGTCAAGATTGTAAGATAAGAAAGAATTTATTACTTGCTTTCCTATTCTTTGGCGACCTCAAACAAAGAAACTCATTTACATTTTTGCATTCATGAGTGTATTTAATTAAAGCTCTTAAGTCAGAAGTTTTCAAATGACTTTTAATAGCAAAATGCTTTTTCTGCTAATGAAATCTTACGTAGTAACTTAACCATGTAAAACAAATAAAATATTTCATTAGTATATCCTTATTTTAGAGGCTCAATTTTGTATTTCTTATTGCAGTTCCAATCACTGACCAAGCGAATGTTAACACTGACTGTGTGCATTTCTTTACTACAGATTGTGGCCTTTCTGAATCCTCACTGTTTTACACACCAAGCCTAGAAGTCATCTTACCTGTGTCCTGTGCTTGCAATTACAATGGAATCCCCTGCTTTCCAAGTCACTCCTTCTTGAAGAATCAAAGTCCATTCCCCTGCCTTTGCAGTCTGAGCCAACCGAGTCCAGACCACAGGGACCGGCAGACCTGGAGCCAACACACAACCCAGGATCTCCTCAGTGTGCGTCCTACGTTACTCAGAGCACCAGTCATTTCCATCTTTTTGGAGATTAAATTAATTTTGGGAAGGTTCATTTTCCACTAGGATTTTATTCCCATGAAAGAAAGAAGAAGAATGCTAACTTCAGGAAAGTAAAAATTTGGTTTGTGATGACATATGATTCTATAAAATTTTTTAAAAATCCTTCAGCAATGCTGGGCTCTATTCCTAATAATCTTCTTCCTAGAAACCCAATATAAATGTGTTGAGATCCTAGTGACAAAATGGGCAGATCCCCATTCCTTTTGTCATTGTTGATAGGAATTGTTTTAAACTGATAATCTAGAAATAAATTTGTGTACGTTTCTAGGAAATTTTAGTATTGCACATATTTAGCACAATGTAGAATATTTATGGTAATAACAGGGTAACTTGTTCATGGATTTCTAAATTTATAAAAGGTATAAATTATTGTAACATAGAAGACAATTTAAAAAAGGACTCACTTCATGCTTCTGAATAATGTTACCCTGGTACCTCAAACAATAAAAGCTTTTTTTTTTTGGTGCTGGAGATGGAAGCCAGGACCTTCACACCGAATTGTATCTCTAGTCCTTTTTATTTACTATTTTGAGACTAGGTTTCACTAAGTCATAAATTGGCCTGGATGGCCTCGAATTTATGATCCTCCTGCCTCAGCCTCCAAGAGTGCCAGGATTATAGGCATGCACCACCACACCTGGCTACCAAAATCAATTTTACTTTCTGACAACATTTCTGGAACTTAGCTATTGAAAAGTACAACTATAAATTTACTGATATACTCTAGAAAGAGCCCACAAGATACAAATGTAACTTTTCATGTAACCGAATGAAGCTATGTACTGCGCTAAGCACAAACTGAGACAAAAAGTGGCTAGTAAGGGGAAGGGTGTGGACATGGCCAGAATGGGTTGAGTGACTTTGGCTCTGAGTCTTGGTAAACAGGCAGGGCTGGCCCGTTAGGGGAGGGAAGAGGGAAAGGGGCAAACAGAGGCTGTCTGAAGGGAGAGAAGCTGGGGAAGCTTCCGCAGGCAGCCTGGGCTCCTACCGTGCAGGTCCAGGGTTCCCTCTCGCACAGCCAGCGTCTTGGCCCCGTAAACCGGGAGCTCCGGAGACCTCGGGTGCCCGTGCAAGGTTATGACCGCCTTGTGCTGGAATGGGGAAGCCTCGGTCCCGATCTGCCGGGGATTTCAGGAGCCTCGTTCAGAAAATTAAAACTCCTCCGTAGCCACAATGCTTATCATGCAAAAGGATTTTTTCCCCTTTTCTCCTCTCTTTTGAGAATCAGTTCTTCGGTTGTTCATAACTTTGTTTCAAGATACAAGATTTAAATTTTCTATTCAGCCAAATACACTATAACAGTCGAATTTACTAATGTCTCAGAGCTGTTTTTAGTTTTGCTCTATTTAAAATTCTGCTGTCTTATATTATAACATTATATTTTGTTAAAATGCAAGAATACCTTAGGGAACCCCCCAGCCAATACACCAAGATCCTTATCCTCATAACAAAGCCCTAAGCAAAGATAAACTGAGAATAGGTCAGAATCATTAATTACTCATTTTATGCAGAGTATTTGAAAAACAAATGGAGAGAGGTTAGCAATGTCCTGTTCTTGGAATACCTGAAGAATGCCTCCATCTGTAATTAGAATATTTTCTGCCTGGAGTTCAATGTCAGCTTCATCAAATATTAGAGTTCCACCTATGAACCATGTAATTATAAATTTTTAAATATATCATAAGAAAATGCATTACTAAAAATTATTCACTTGCTTGTCTCTGTCTTCTGTGCACACTACTTTACTTCTGCTCTTGGTAACAGTAAAAACCTAAACACTTCAAGACTTTGAGAGTTGACAGAAAAACTCTAGGGCAGATTAGTTTAGCTTGAAAAAGTATTACTTTAAATGTTATTAAGTAGTGCAACTACAGAAGTTAATTCTACAAGCACAGAGCTTCAAAATATAAATTAAGAAAAATACAAGATTAAAGAAAAACGCTTTTATACAAACCAATGCTGTCTTAATTTTTATCCACTAATTTGTACTAGCAACGGCTATAGCTTGATTAACACTATTAAGAAAGTACTGAGATACATTTTTATGAGACTGATGTAAGTCTGGAAACAGTGAAACTTAATTTGTTTAAAGACCCTATACTTAATATCTCCAAATCGCTGAAATAGTGCTATTATCCCATATGTTAAAAAATAGAAAAACTACTGAAGTCTTTAAACAGCTAAAATCACGATGGCCAAGTTTATGCACTAAATCCCAAGCACTTTCCTCTTAGCACTTAACATTTCTTTCACATGTAATTGTAATAGTCGTGTGTTTTTGTAACAGTAGAAACAGAATATCAAGTTGCAGAGAAAACCCCAGGTAGCAACTGAAAGCAGGTTTACAGGTGAATGAGAATCACAATATGCTTTCCAAGGGCCATCAAGGGGTCACTTAGATTTAACAAACTGTTACAATTTTATAACCGTTGGGATTCACCGTATCAGTGAGAAATGCTCTTTTCTATTTCTTTTACTTTTTTATTTTATAAAAATGACAGTGAGTGGGCCTGCACTGGGTAAGGTACTCTTACCCATAGGTATGCAGTGCATGCTGATTTTTTAATTCTATTCTATTTTTAAAATGCTAGCTACAACTGATTGAATAATACAACCACAAATAGACTGTAATACTCAATTTAGAAAACTTAAAACTATACTTCATATTAAAGACATAATACAAGTACGAATGGTTCACAATTATGAATTTTGATTAAATTAACATCCTCAAAATATTCCATAGGCAGAGTTTAGTAAATAGATGAACAGAAATTTACCCTGGATAAGCAACATTTTCAGAATAGGGGTGCTTTGGTCCAGCAGAAGTATCTGTCCTTTTGTAATCACAGCAAGTGAGCCTTCCTCTGGGGGTGATCTTCCACCCCATGAGAAGTTGGAGGACCAAGCATCCATGTACAGGAAGTCGGCATTCTTCTATAACGGAGGATGGGAGACTTTAAAATTTAGAGGACTATGGAATTAATATGAGAAAATGGAAAAATGGAAACAAAGTCTTTGTAAATAGGGAGGGATGGAGGGATTGAAGAAGGGGGAAAAATAAGAACCAAGATGGATTAGGTAAAGGTGCAAATTTCCAATGATGAATACCATTATATTGTATACCTAAAATGTACCAATGAATAAAATGAATAATTGGTAATGTAAAATAGGAAGAAAAGGTCCAAAGGGGTAGGGGTAGTGGGAGGGGCAGGGGAAAGGAAAGAAGGGAAAGGAAAAATGATGAGAAATGGAAAAAATGGAAACAAAGTCTTTGTAAATAGGGAAGGGTGGAGGGGGTGAAGGGAGGGCTGGGAATGGGGAAAAAATAAGAACCAAGATACATCATGTAAAGGTACAAGTTCCCAATGAGAAATGTAAATGTGTTGTATACCTAAAATGTACCAATAAAAGAATTTAAGTAATAAAAATAAATAAATAAATAAAAAAAAATTAGAGGACTTACTAGACTTTTTTCAATTTTCCAAAGGAAGACATATAAAACAATCAATATTCATATTAACAATGAAATACAACCCATTTCAAATATGTAATAGCCTCCTCTTAGTTCATTTTATGATAATAGTAAAAAGTCCATTATCACTTATACCACAACCCAGAGTAATCTAAAAAAATTAAAATGTTAGTAATAAGCCACAGAAGTGTAAGCTACTTTGAATTTAGTATGGTCACATTTCACATATCTTTTGGAGATATTAACGTAAAGTATCCATTACCAATTAGCCCACCTACTGTAATGCTAGTTTGTCTATTGCTGCAATTACTATGCCAGAATCACTATTACCAGTTTAGCCATGCCGATGTTTCTGATGTTGACGTGAAGTGGGGCCCACCCTGAAGGAGTATGAGCACTTGTCACGCAGATGATATGTGTCTTGTTGGCATACTTAACATCACATTCAGCTTCAGCTATGGTGATATCAACATCCTGTGGATTTTCACTGTAAAGGGAAAACAAAATATGTTTTTCTCAAATTTCTACTTTGCATCATCAAATCCCTTTATTCATATACATTTTTGCAAAAGATATGATATTGCCTTATGATCCATCAAAGTTTAGATTGACACTCTCTTTTTAGTATTAAGTCTTTAAGATAGTTGTTGAAAAAGAAGTCAACAAGGAGATCAAGAAGTCATAAAAAAGAACTGCACAAACTACCAAGTGTCCAGTGCTAAAGGAAAAACTGCCTGGGTTTGAATTATTGGGAGATTTTTTGTTGGCCTCCAAATGGGGATCTTTGTAAGAGATTTTCAAGGATCAATTTACCTGTGACATTTTTGTTACATTCACAGAGTTTTGAACTTAATCTCCACTTAAGATACAAGACCAAGTAATTATAAGTGCTTGAGAAATTAAAACTGCCTTCTATAGTTTATGTTTTGAAATTAATGTCATATATTTTAAGAATGATGATAGTGCAGTACAGAAATCTGAGCTATAAATAATGTGTGTAAGAAGAAGGAACCTGACCAATTGCAGTGGAATGGACCTGATATATGCAAAGATGTTTCCTTGGCCCAGTGAAGCAGGTCATGACGAGATGATACGGTGGGGAAAGCATAATGAGGTGGTGACCTGTGTTTGTGATGTTCCTTGCTAGGACTGGAGACAAGCGACTTGACCTCTTTAGTCTTCAGTCGCTAACCATACTGGGATGAAAATATCTCATAAAAGAGGACAGGGAGTTTCTGTGGGTAGGAAGGTGCCTAGATAACTCGGTAAGTTGGCCTAGATAACTCAATAAGTGTTAGCTATTCCTTCCATTTTGTGCCTCAAGGGTGGCTGGAGAGCAGAAAGGCCCATGTTGCAGGACTATAAGCAACATCTTCACATAGGAGAGAGCATCCATGATGTCTTGAGCCTGGAAACATGCAGCAACCTGCTTGTGTGAAGATGGTACCTGAATCCTGATCCCCACACGGTAAGTCTGGTGCCCCCTGAGGTACTGCCTTTCCTGGGAGATATTTCGGTGACAAGCGGAGTCAGGGCCATGGTGTAAGTGAACAGAGCCGTGGACGGTGACGAATCTCTCCCATTGACCACACTCACTTCACACGCCTGCTCAGGCCCCATACCTATGAGAAGGGGGTCAAACTTAGTACATGCCATTGGGCCTGGACTTGTTTCCAGAACCTCCAGACATTTTCAGTAACATCTTCCTTTTCCCACAATCCCATCTAATATACACGGGCTGTATGTGAAGAAATAAAAACTTCTAGCAATAAGAAAAAAAAACCCACAAAGTTCATGCCCATGATCAATAGAGTAAAAATTCTTAGACCTTTTCTTGGAACCTCTTATTGTAGACAATTCTGCACACCAGCTGCTCAGTTTTCCAGATCTAGAGGACACAGGATTGCAAATTGGGAAGAAGAGAGGGACTGCTAGAGAAAGGCACAGGGACAACAGGAGGGGTAGACAGCAGAAGGCCAGGGAGGGGACAGAACAACTTCAGAAATCCACGTGATCACGAAGAAAGGGGCGGGACCAACAACCCACAAACCTGCCAGCCATTCCTCAGAGGACTCATATCTAGAATATATAAAGAACACAAAGATTTAGGCCCCTTAAACTAAAAGACCCAATCGAAAAATAGGCAAGTGAAATGAAGAGACTTCACAGAAGTATAAATGGCCAATAAATACATGAAGAAATGTTCAGCACCCCTAACCACTAGAGAAATGCAAATTAAAATAACATTGAGATTCCATCTTACCCCAGAGAGAATGGTCGTCATCAAGAAATCAAATAATAAATGCTGTAGAGACTATGGAGGAAAGGGAAGCCCTGTACACTGTTGATGGAAATGTAAACCAGCACAATCACTATGGAAATCAGTATGGAGATTACTCAAAAAACTGAAACTAGAAATTCCATTTGACCCAGATATTCTCCTTCTAGGTATCTTCCCCAAAGACTGAAAGACATTATATTACAGTGATACATGCATACCCATGTTTATAGCAGCACACTTCATAATAGCCAAATCTTGTAAATAAATGGTCCATATGTCCATCAACAGATGAATGGTAAAGAAAATATATTTACCCCCAGTGGAATACTACTGTGCCATAAAGAAAGATAAATTTGAGTAATTTGTAGGAAAATGGATGCCCTTCAAGACCATAATGTTAAGTGAAATAAACCAGGCACACAAGCTTAAATATCACATGGTTTCTTTTATATAAAGAACTCAAAGTAAAAATAAAGGGCAAAATAAAAGATAACAGGAAGTAGTGAGTTCGATCACAAAGGGGAGAGGGATAAAGAGAGAGAAGAAAGGTGGAGGGAGGAAAGGGATAGGAGAATGATTTTTAAAAAGGGAACTGAGATTGTGTTATACACACGTAGAGACTCCACCCACAGAATGTAAATGTTGTGTACTGCAAACATGTACAAAAAAGGAGTAGATCAAGAGATGAGTGCAGGGAGTCGGGAGGGAACAGAATTGGGATGAAAAAAGGAATCAAGATGTATTAGTACATGTACAACTTCCCACAGGGAATGCAAACATTATGTACTACGAACATGTCCTGATAAACTAAGAACTTTGACAAAAAGTAAGAGTAATGATAAGAGTAAATCACATTTCATGTTCTAGATATCATTCTGTCCACTTTACATGCATTAACCTTACAATAACTTTATAAAATATGCTACTGTGATTAATCTCAGTTTATAGATAAAGAAACTAAGGCACACAGAAGTTAAATAACTTGTGCCAAAATACACAAAGCATTCAGTCTTGGCAATGTACTACCAAGGTTCATACTCAAATCCATTATGCTATTCTTCCACCCCTTCTCTGTTTTCTGAGACAGGGTCTCAAACTCATGGCAATTCTCCTGCCTCAGCAAACACTATCTTTAAAGAAAATTGAATGCATTAAGGAATAAACATGTTCTCCATTCAATATATTCAATAAACTGAGTCATCAGTTTATATCATAAACTGAAAACCTTTACAGAATTATAAACTTAGAAAACAAAGTTCCGGATAAACTACTTAAATCAAGACAATCCTAAAAGGGATTCCCAAAGAACCTAAAACATAAAAAAAGAAATTTAGACAGTGATGTTTATGAAATTAACTATTGTCATTCTTTCTTCTGACAACTCACCATCATTAGGTGGAATTTCACATAACAGTGTCGTGTAATCGGATCTGAGCCTATCAGTTGCACATTCTGATCCACAGATCAATGGGACTGAGCCTTGCGGATTAAACCCAGCACCTGTCACAGTCAGGGTTTGGCCACCACCAAAGCTCCCTGGAGAAGATAAATACAAAAGAAAACTTCCTCTGTGCACAACTGCTTAATCTTAATACCCAAAGTCAAAGAAAGTTACATTAAATGAGACGTGTTTAAGATTTAACATATGTGATAAAATATAATAAAACAGAACATCTTTTGGTTTAAGTCTTCACAACTGAGTAAATGTCACACCTGATAATTTATGTAAACTATTTCTCAGAACTAAACTTTTACTTGAAAGAAATGTCACAAAGAATTTCAGAGTAGTCAAAATATACATGTATAATTATTTTTTTAATTGATGTACATTAATTATACTTAAGATTTTTAACCATTAAAATAATTTTCAACTAGAAAAAAATTATGTGTCCGTGATGGATAAACATGATTTTTAAAAAAAGAATTCCATATAGAACTTGATCTTTTGTGTGTGTGTGTGTGTGTGTGTGTGTGTGTGTGTGTTACCGGGTATTGAACTCAGGACCTTGTGCTTGCAAGGCAGGCGCAAGTCACAGAGCTAAAACCTGGACACTAAAACTTGATCAATTGAAGTAGGGCTGAATTTTAAACAAATTACACAGTACTAAGAGAAATAGAAGGCATTAGTCAATATTTTGAAATGATTAATTACTACTTTTGTGTGCTTATTTTTTTGCTGAGTGAAGAAAAATCTTTTAGCGTTATAGGTAGCACAAATTTTCACAGTATTTCAAGAACATTTTTTTTCTAAATGAAGTAACTGTAACTGACACAATGTAAAATACAGAATTAGACATCAGAGTATCTAAATAGTTCAGTGAAAATGATTTGTTTTTCTTAGGAACGTATGCTTTCTAACAAGCTTTAAAATAAAATACAGCAGCCACCAACAAATCATCCTATCAGCTGGGTTCAGACAAAATTGATCCCAGGCATGTCAGAAGAGGCAGGGATGAAAATGATTGAGAAAATCCAGGATATCTTATGATACAGCAAGGACATAGAAAGTGCTCATCACTAATCATGGCTGCGAAACAGGTGCAATCCAGGTAGGATCTGTAGCAAATCACTAAGGCGTCTATTCCTGTGTTCCCTCACATGCCCTTTCCCGGTGTCTCAGCAGCTTCCATGAATTCTTCATGGTTACACTGATCACACGGTGGGTGTTGCTGGAAGCTGCGCTTTGAATGTGCAATTTTTCTCATTAGTGAAGGAGCTTCTGCAGGGCATTGTAAGGGACCAGTGAAACTAAAATACTGCTAAGAAGATATCGCAGAACCATGAACCTGCTTGACTCTGTAAAAATTATTAGAAACACCCAATGTCCTTGCCAGTGAGACTGGCATTAATGGAGTCCCTGCTCTGTCCACCTCTGCAGGAAATACCTTGCTGGATAGGAAGACATAGAGTATGTAGTAAAGGAGCTTACTAGCCAGTACTTTTTAGTCAAATCTTACACATGTATGTAATAATGTACTTTAAGGAAAAGAGAAGTAGAATATGTGAAATTATTTGTTCTTTCCAAATCCAAGATGCACAGTTACATATATGTTTCATTCTGCAAAAACTGGCCATCTAAAATGAATAAATGAATTGATGCTTAATCAACTTACAGTATGAGTTCATAGAGGCAAAATATCTGCTCTTACAAATCTAAAGATGATGTCTTGAGGTCTCTAAAAATGACCTTTCATTATTTATTTCATTAGACTCTTAGGGTGACATTAGATTAAGTCAGCTGCTAGGGTACCTCACTCTCAGACATTAAGTCTAAATACTGAGTTGAGGCTTTGTTTCTTACTGAATGAAGTAAAACTATGAACACTAGAAAAAAAAACACGTAAAACAATCACAGAGCCAAGAATAACAGTCAAAAGTAATTGTTCAAGTGTCTCCCATGGTTTGGAAACATATATATAACCCTTGAGAAATTATGTGCACCCATATTATACAAGACATTTCACATATCAAAAAGTCTGACTTGTAACATCATTTGAGTTTTTATATCTGAGAATTTGTGCAACTCCAAATGAATCACCTGGGGAACTGTTGGAAGCAAATAGTCCCTAGAGGTGAGCCCAGTGCACTGAGTGCACCGATCAATTTTTCTGGCCCTTTGCCACAGCTTGTATCACATGTGATCAACAGGGCTCCTAAGACCATGTTCCAATCACCCCTTCTACTTCAAAATAGAAAAACCATATACTTTTTGGATATTCCCTCAATACCCCAAAACAGTCAGGTAGCCTATTTTCCCCAGTATCAGACATTATAGAAATAATACATATTTTGAAGATATTTGTCTTTTCATGAGTTATGTGTTTATTTGCACACTACACTTAGTGAATACGTCTAAAATGCAATAAGCTACAGGCACTCCTTGTTTAATGACCGAGTTATGTTCCTGCGATTATGTTGTTAAATGAACTGGTCTCTAAATGAGGAATTATATATAGTAGGTAACCACAGTATTCAGACTCCAAATTGATAGCTTTGCCTTTATTTGCATAACTCTTATCTGCAATACCGTAATTTATGACAGAACATAAAAATACAGTACTGTACTGTACAGTACAATCAGCAAAAATTATAGTACTGCAGAAACAAATGTATGTACAAAAAGACACTGAGGCTCTATCAACAAGATATACAGAACTGTATATAAAAAGAGGGGTCTTAAGTCCAAATAGTCGTTAAACAGGTAGGTCATTAAACGAGGAATATCTGTATTTATGTGTTCCTGCATATTCATGACTACCTTGCTGCGGATGAATACTTTGAATATGAAGTGGGTACTCAAATACAAGAGTGGACACGGCAAAGCCTTTTGTCTTGTGATACAGCACCACGGGAAACGTTCCACCAGCATGATCTCCAGCAACGCACTGCAGCACGCTGTCATTGACCATGGTCACATGACAACCAGCGTCACTTATCCTCACTGAAATTTCTGAGATGTTAAAACCGAAGTTAGATCCAGTGATCTCAATTTCAGTTCCTGGTGGACCTTAAAATGAAGCACATGATATAAATATGTATCTAAATTCCAATACTGACATGTGTACTCGGAGATATACCTCTCCACTTTGGTAAATAAACTGATATCAATTGTTTTAAAACCAATATAAATATTAAAATACATGCATCTCATGTACATTTTGACTACTGTATACACTAGATTGTATATTAACTAAGTAAATCATCTCAGTGTTCATTATTTTCCAGCCCGTTTGACTGCTCCACTGAGTTTTAAGTTGTCAATCCAGGTTAGTAGGGATAAGAGGAGGAAAGGAGAAAGAAGATCTAGAGTTAAAAAGCACAAATGTCCGGGCAGGGTATGGTGGGCTGGAGTATATTTTAGGGATGAGGCTTACTAGTTTTTTATTTTTGGTAGTTTTTTCCTTGATATCAGCAATAGTTTTTGAGAATGGGATGTATTTTTCTCAAGTCAAATATTTTCAACAGGTATAAATTGGTCAATTATATGTAAATAATTAGGTGTAAAATAGTTTACAAAAAATGAATTAATTTTACCCTTAAATGAAATAAATAGGACACACGTGTAAGCACCCAATAGTTTCTCTAGTGTTAGAAACTGAAAGTATAAATAAAGATTAAAAGGTATAACAGATAATGTGAAATAGGAAGAAAAGGGGCAAAGGGGAAGGGAAAGTGGGAGGGGTAGGGGAAAAGAAAGAAGGGAAAGGAAAAATATGAGAAAAGGAAAAATGGAAACAAAGTCTTTGTAAACAGGGAGGAGTGGAGGGGTTGAAGGGAGGGCAGGGGAAGGGGGAAAAAATAAGAACCAAGATATATCATGTAAAGGTACAAATTCCCATGATGAATGTCATCATATTGTATACCTTAACTGTGCCAATAAACTTAATGAATAAAAAAAAGACTTATAGATGAATGTTGACGATAAGGCCTTACATGAATGAACAAAATATATATATTGAACCAAGAATTTCAATCTATCTTGCTTCTTCTTTTGACAAATGTACAATGAGGGCATTGAGTGTATGGAATTTTTCGTAAGTCATCCAAATGAATACCCACATACCTAAATTTTAAATGACCAGATCGTAATTGCCACAACTTGCTATAAATGCCAGGGTCTCAAGTAGGAGATTTTAATTCAAGTAGTAATTGTAATAATTGCCATATAATTGACCATAGTGAGGAAAATGTAAATCATTATATTTATGAATCTTTATTATAAAGACTGCAAATATTAATGAGATATTTTATGTTAGGGAGAGTTTTAAAATACAAAGTAAAAATTGTTTTATGAATCTTAAAATTATAATTTCATTTGACATTTCACCTTTCCTATGGGACAGTGTTCTAAGTGTGATGGATTCCTTGTCTCTTTAGTAAATTAAACAGCTCAAATCTCACTTGTCTACAAGTCTCTTATGTGTCGCATACATTACTGAAAGAGACATTCAAAGAAAAAGATGAGAAAATAGGTCCATGGAAATAAGGGACAAATTATTTTCCATGACTACAAATTTATGGATATGTCATTTTGATTGTTAACATTTGCTTCTAAATAAGAAGAGTTGATGTAGTAAAGAAAATTTTAATAGTAAACTTCCTGAAGGCAGAGAATAAATCTTACCCAAGCCTAGTGCATTTTCTAGCAATATAAATAGAAACATTTTCTAAAAGCCAACATCTAGTGAATTCTTTATTAACTATACTATTTTAAGCTATATTTTCTGGATGAATTTCTTTAATTTTTACTATACAGGTACCTAAAAAACTAATGTAAACAAACAAACAAAATGTCTAAAATTTTAGGAAGTAGGAGAACATAGGTTTGACCAAAACCTCAAAGCCATGCTTCAACCATTACAGTCCAGCTGCCTTTCTAGAATTCATTACATAGATGATAAGCATTTCAATAGTTTGACTATAATTAGAAACAGCTAGAAACAGTGTAGCATAATTAACGTAATGACAAAGGACCAAGAAGACATCTTAATCTAAGCTTATAAAAATGTGATGCTAGATAATGAAGTAAATCTTATTTTATAGTATTATCTTTATATAGGTGTGTCAACTACCTCCTTAAAGAGAATTCTTTTGTATCAATGATATCAATTGGAGATTCATGGAAATAAAGTAATCTGAAAAATTATCCACGTTAGAAAGATCAAGTACTTGTGAATTTTAATAGTTGCGTCTTCTGCCATATCAACATTGATGATAATAATTTATCCATTCTGGCATATAGATATACATGTATTTCTTCCTCATTTGAAGTTTAGGTTAAGCTAATGGTGATTTTGTTTCTAAATGGAAGTTGGAACTTGACTAAAACTTTTATCCCAAGAATTTGGGAAAAATAATCACAAAATGTGGGTTCTCAGAACTTGAATCCCATTTATTAATTGGATTAAGTAGAACTGTATAAAAAAATCACAATAATTCTGAGATGTGATTAAAAAATACAGTGCATATATAAGTTTTAAAAATTTATTACAGGAAAATCACACTGTCATCAATCTGCCTCAAAGTACTGTACTACCTTTCACTTCGAACACAGCCCATTGTTCCTGCCACTTTCAGATGCATTTCAAGATGCATTCCAAATGTTTACCTTTCATCATCATTTTGACTTTGGGGAAGATCCAAAAGTCACAGATTGGTGCCTAAATTGGATGAGACTACACCTTAATGGTTTCATGAGCCTGTCCTTTCACTGGATGGCCCTTGGCAGCAACATTCACCATATTTTTTATTATACCTTATAAAAATATTCATGAAAGAGGACTTCTAGAACTGCTTTAGAAAGTGGCAAGAACAATGGGATAAGTGTGTTTGAAGTGAGTGGGAGTATTTTGAGGGGGATTCCTAGCCATGTGTTGTTTATTGTAATAAGTTTTAAATATAAACAGTCACTATATATTTTGATCACACCTCATATAGATATTACTGTAACACATAAATAGTGAAAATATAACATCAAGATAATGGAAACGCAGTCGTTAGCATCATAATTACCTGTATTTGGGGAAATTCCTCTGAGAAATGGCGTGTCCTCCAGGGAATATGTGAATGATAAAGCTGGGTAAGGAACTTCGTTAACCAAGATCTGCAGATTGGTCTTTCCAGCTTTCCCTGCTGGGGTGCTACAGTGGACCTTACTGGAGTTGGCAAACATAATCTGACAGGGGGCCTCCCCAACAGTGACTGTGGTGTTGTCCAGATGGAAACCGTTCCCTGTGATGACCAACATGGTTCCACCACCAAGGCTTCCAGAAGTTGGTGAGACAGATGCTACCATGGGGCTGCTGACAGTCAGGTTCCCCAGAGCCAAGCCTTTAGTTTCTACCACCACTCTGAGAGAATGAAGTCCAGCTGGGAGGGAAGGCACGAGAACAGTGATGTTACTTTCATTCACATGTATTGCTCTGAACTGTTGATTTCCAATGAAAACAGCAACCTCCTCCAACACAGTCCCAAAACCTTCTCCTTCAATGACAACTTTCACAGGTCCTCTGACAGAGTCTGGGAAGATTCCTGTTACACAAGGAGTGATGCTGTCTGAATATGAAAAGTTGCAGCTCCCCTGACAGAGGGCAGGCACTCCACGTATTAGAAGATGCACGAGCACAAGCTGCTGGGGAGCAGGGGATGTCTCACACTCGATAGCTGTGTAATTCACTGTGAGAACTTTACACGGGAAATGACCCATCAGGACTTCCACACCTGCAGAAGAACCTGCAAACCCTGAGCCTTTTATGATCACTCTCGTCATTCCTGTCGTTGACCCTGTATTTGGCAATACCATTTCAATGTTTGGCAAGAGAACAAATTGCCTATCAAATTCACTGGACAATGTGTTGATAGCAGTGCCCAGGTTGTAGACAACCAAAGTGACAAAGTCTCGGATGCCGACCTCCATTGAGTTTTGAGGGTCAATATGGCACGTGATAGAACTGTCATGACTTTCTTCCACAACACAAGGGTAGCGACCAATTGTAACCTGAAAGTAAAGTGCACATGAAATAAAACAAGTCACTACATTACTTCAGTATGAACTTAAATTTTGTACTAGCAATAACTATAATTTTAGAAGCCTCATTCTGTGGAAACTTTTTTATTCATAAAGTTAACATTTGGAGCTGATTATGACACATCCTAAAATAACTTTTCGATTAAATTATGATTATATGTATGTTCATAACTACATTACTCATGATAGCCAAAAAGAGAAAATAACACAAATATCCATCAACAGATAATGAACAGATAAAGGAAATGTGGTATACTATACAATGGAATATTGTTCAGCTATAAAAAGAAATAAATCCTGACACATTGGATAAAGTTTGCAACTTTAGGTTAAAGAAGAAGTTGGATACGAAGAACCACATATTATATGGCTCTATTTTTAGAAATGTCCACAATAGGCAAATCCATAGGGATAGAAAGTATATTAGTGGTCACATTGGGTTAGGATGGATGGAATTGTTGCCATGAGGATAAAGGTGTGGAGGATTTTTCCTAGGGTAAAGAAAATGTTTTAAAATTGTGATCATGGATGTACAACTCTGTAAATATACTTCATGTGTGTGTGTATGTTTACTCTAAATGGGCGAATTGTATGGCATGTGAATTACATCTCATAAAGCTGATAAAAATTAAACATGAGGGTATAGTCAAAGCATGTTCCCTTTTTGGAGTATATGGAATTTCAAAGGAGATCTATATATTCTTACCTTATTAGCACATGTCAGATTACTGAAGCCACTTCCAGTAATTGTTATCAATTCATTTACTGTTCCAGTGGACGGAGTAATGTTGCTTATAGATGGTGAAATACAACTTGAAAGCTCAAAGAGAAATATGTTTGAATCTTTAACCCTGGTATCGTTCAGACTACACAGGGGCTCTGTTGCTAGGCAGCCTGCCACAGAGCTTCCCAAGTGCAAATTCTCAGGTCCTCCTTTAGACAAAAGAACTTCCTGTAAGTCATGGATAATATTCCAAAATAAGAACTGTTTTCAGACTGCATTACTCTTTGTTTTGACAAAGGTGGTTGTAAATTCTGGTAAATTCTTTTAAATGACAAGAGAGTCTGGTCCTAGGCTGGACAACTGGATTAAAGACCTAGACAAAGACTGTACAATAAAGATACAAGAGTAAATGTAAATTTAATTTACTTTTCAGTTTGTTCAAGGCCAGCTCCAATAGGAGAAATAAAACAATAATATCACCAAATATCTGAATGTATTTTGGGCTTATGCAGAGTGTCAGAACTCTTAGACATTACATCTCACTTGAAGCACACAAGGATTCGGGGAGGCAGACAGGAAGACATTAACATTATCTTTATTTTATAGAATAAACTCTAGCTCAGAGCACTATAAACCTTTTCAAGGTCATATGGTAGTAAGAGACTGCCTCAGGTGACCTAGTGATTCAACCCCTACTCCAGGAAGGTCAAGTAAACCCTGGGCCACCTCAGTGACAGTTCCCATCTTACCCCGAGTGTACGTGGCTTCAGTGCTACGCACAAACACCTGCAGGGGAAGGTGCCTGGTTTTAGCTGGTAAAACGTTAATGACTCCTTGGAGAGAAACGGAGCGAGCCTCATCAACATGCCCACTGCTGTAATAATGGATTCCGGGCAAAGTGAATTGGTAAGAAAATGAACCTGGCATAAAACAAGATTGTACAAAATAAATACAAGCAATTCATGCATCTTTTAAAGGAGAGTGAAGAAATTTGAAATGATCATTTAAGTGCACATGAAGATGACATGTGTCTTATTTTTCATATGTTTGATATTTCAACAAGAAGCAGTAAGAAAATGACTCACTGGCTATAAAAGAGCTATTTTGTAGAGTGAAATTACACCCCAGGAAGACATGATCCAGCATTAATTTTTAAGATAATCAGGGAAAGTTTGACATAATTTACCCACATTTAAGAAAAATGCAACCTAAAATGAAAATTTTAAACAATAATGCTTATATCACTACATATATAGAACAAAATAGGCAATCTAAAAGACGCACTTTATACTAAACTGTCCTACAAGAAATAAAAACTTGTAAATCCGATTTTAATCAATAGAAGCTCATCATTTGCAACCAGATTGGTATGATTAAAATATATACTCCTATTTTCACTGTATTTTGCTTTTACAATATAGTTTTCAATTGGTCAATTATCACAGAATTAATAAAGATATTTCCAATACCAGAATTTATTTCAGTGTGTATAAAATAGCTTGCTTGCATTCATTTATAATATTTTTATGATAACCATAAAATGCCAGGTAAACCACCTGGTACATTTTTCTGTATTATTCATGTAAAAGTATGCTAAATATGCACAAAATGTCTTTTCATTACATCTAGAAATAATAAGTATGGTGCAAAATTCAATAAAATGGATACACACCTGATGAAGATTTTGGTCTTCCATTTGTGAATCCTTTGTCATCATAACTCACACTTCCAGGACTGGGGACCGAGAAGACCCTATATCCTATTCCTCTAAGAAAGGGATGTGCTTGCCAATGCCATGCCACTGTGTCTCCCACAGACACATTTAAGACTGATGGTGACCAAGCATAACCTAATCCATGCACTGAGAGCAAGAATTGAATCATATTTTGAGAGGAAAAAGAGAAAAAACATAAAAAAGTAAAGTTCTTAATTAACTTTGTTAATGGATAACCAAGAGACAATTTGAAAAAAAACAAGTGGCTACTCAATAAATTGTTCAAAAATGTTACATGGAATATTTTTAAAGCTATGACCAATTCTTTAAACCTAAGAATTTTCTGAAACATATAAGAATGCAAAAACATGTAATTTAAACTGGAATGTACATTGGCAACCCATGACTGATTATGAACTGTAGTAATTTAGGACACTCTGTACTGAAACAAAACCCAACGCGGTTTCTGAGCATGGGATTGTAAAGTCCAGCCTTTTCAGTTTGGGTTTACCACCAATGCACTCCATGTGTGATCCCCTAGGTTAAGTGGATACCACTGACAAGTTATGAAAGAAACAGCAATACTTAATTCTCTGAGTAATTTGAAGTGTAAAGTAAATAAGAATTAAATTAATTCCACATTAAAGAGCTTTCCTTATTCACAATATGTAAATAGTGATTGGTACCTAAATCTTCCCCATTGTTGGTAATTCGGAACACTTTCCCTGTTGAGTGAAGAGTACATTTTATGGTGTTTTCTGATGATGATGTAACATTGCAAGGGAAAGAACCTAGAAAGAATAAAGATGGAAATAGCACTTTTTCCTCAAATATTTTTTATGAACTGTAGAAATGAAGTAACATTGGTAAACAAGACCCTGCAAAAGTTCTTTGGTACAAGGTACAGTATTGGTACTTTGTTTTTGATGGTGAGCATGTTTGAGTATTGATGATTTTCAAAACAAAGCCTCTCCTTAAAGTTTTCTATACACATTAAATAAACAATAATAATTTACTGGAAAATCAAAAACTGAAAAGCAGTTATTTTTATTTTATCCTCTAAACCAAATATACTTAACCTTTTTCACACACTAATAGACAAATGAACTTTACATGATTAAGAGAGTTGGAGCAGTAACTTGACCTCTATGGCACATCTTCAAGCTGAGAAAATGCAGCCTGGGAGATCGCAGCTCTTACCTAAGAGCACAGTATTCTCAGTTGGTATCGTGCTGAACCCCAAACCCATTATAGTGATTTCAGTCCCGCCATACAAGGAGCCTCTGTGTGGAGACATGTCTGTCACTTCCAAAACATACTGTATCGATGCATTTAACTTGTCACTAAGAAGGAAAAAGGAACAGATTTTTTCAGTCCACTTCCCTTGGGCCCATATTCCTAACTCTTGCTAGGCTATAACTTCTTTAGGAAGAGGAAGTATTTGAATATACATATATGTCATTAAGTATTAGTTATCAGCGACATAGTCTGGTAATTATCAATGTTGATACTTGTAAAAATTAGATTTCTGAAAATTTAATAGCAAAACCATGTGAGATGGAAGATCTTAAAATATTATGGAAAACTATGGCTATGAGAAATGAGACCTCAAAACATAAATGAAATCTTTTAAAATATTTTATATTTTTATTAGAGTAAAATATAAAGGCAACTCTATCTGCAAAAAAGCAATAGAATTCTCTACATCTTATCAGACTAATAAAGTGTTGTGTACTTTTTTAATGAATTTTATTGGTACATTTTAGGTATACTATGTGATGACATTCATCACTGGGAATTTTTACCTTTACATGATCTATCTCGGTTCTTATATTTTTCCCCCTTCCCCTGCCCTCCTTTCAGCCCCTCCACCCTTCCCTATTTACAAACACTATATTTTCATGTTTTCCTTTTCTCGTATTTATTCCTTTCCCTTCTTTCCTTTCCCCAGCCCCTCCCACTTTCCCTTCCCCTTTGGACCTTTTCTTCCTACTTCACATTATCCATTAAACCTTTTAGTCCTTATTTACACTTTCAGTTTCTCACACTAGAGAAACTATTCGGTATTTACACATCTGTGTCCTCTTTATTTCACTTAAGAGTATCACCTCAATGTGCATCCATTTAGCTATAAATGTCTCTAATTTCTCATTCTTTGTGGCTGAGTAGTACTCCATTTTATTTTTTTAAAACCCACATTTTATTTATCCAGTCTCCAGTTGATGGGCAATTGAGCTATTTCCAAGTTTTAGCTATTACAAACTGCCACTATGAACATGGGTACATATATATCACTGTAGTATGATTCCTTTAATTCATTTGGGAAGATACCCAGCAGGGGAATAGCTGAGTCAAATAGGGCCTCTAGTCCTAGTTCTTTGAGGTATCTCCATACTGATTTCCACAGTGGTTGCACGAGTTAACACTCCCACCAACAGTGGAGAAGGGTTCCTTTGTCCTCACAGCCCCACCAGCATTTGTTATTGGTTGATTTCTTGAGAGCAACCACTCTTCCTGGGGTGAGGTGGAATCTCAGTGTTATTTTTATTTGCATCTCTCGAATGACCAGTGATGTTGAACATTTTTTCATATGTTTATTTGCTATTTCTACTTCTTTGTCTGAGAAATGTCTGTTCATTTCAGATGCCCATTTTTGGATTGGATCTTTAAATTTGGGGGGTCTGATTTTTTTGAGTTCTTTATATATTCTAGAAAAGCTTCTGCACAACAAGAGAAACTACCAACAGCGTGAAGAAACAACCCACAATGTGGGAAAAAATTTTTACCAGCTGTTTCTCAGACAAAAGTGTTGTGTAATTTAAATTTATCATTCCATGTTTGTGGGAAATGTCAAGATTTTCTGTCCCACTCTTCCAGTGAGTAGGTTTTTAATTTATTTTCCTTTGTTACAGACAATGTACCTGCTGGGAGGCCATCAAAATGTACAGTCCTTTTTTTTACCAGAATGGACTCCCACATTCCAGTTCCCACCATAATTCCTCAGGCAGAAAACCCCCAATGAGTTTTGTTTTGACTTGCATTAAGCTTCCTCAACATAACTGAATTAGTAATTCTTCGCCTGCCACCTACGTAAACATGGAGTCCATTCTGCACCTTATATCATCCAGCCAAAACAAGCCAAGAGCTGTTCCAGAACTCATATGAACTCCTCCCTCTGATCTGAAAAGAATCGTAGTCCTCAGGTTGCTCAGCTTCTTTCACCTCCACGAGATTTCACTGCAATCATCTCTCCTTCCATTTTGACATTAGCTTTATTAGCCTTCATTTGTCATCCATTCAATCACTACATTTCAGTTTTTCTCTTTTCCTATGCATTCCAACTAGTGACTTCCTCACACAAGAAATAAAATTGCCAGTTAAAAGACAGTTTAGGGAAGAATATACTACATTTCTACAAGAAACAGAGAAGGTTTCTCTCTATCCTATCTTTTAATTGGCCAGCTTTTTCCTACACATTTCTTGGCTAAAATGTCACCATTTCAGAGAATCCTTCCCTGTTCCTCAGGATGTCAAGTCCTTCTATTACGTACTTTAGTACCTGGTTCTCTTTTTCATAGTTGTTTTCACACTTATAATTAGCCGACTCATGTAATTCTCTATTTGAAATCTTTCCTACAAAATTATGAGCTCAATTAATGCAGGGAACATGCACTTCTCATTTTCTACTGTGAATCCAGCATTACAAAAGTGTCTGCCCCTAGAATTTACTTGATAAGTATTTTCTGAGTGAATGAAAATTGTGTGACATAAACATAAATCTAGTCATGCAGAGAATTTTTCAACATGATCTGAATGGTATTGATTGGCAAAAAAGTGTTATATTGTACTTTAGAGATTTTCTCAAAATGTTTTGCAAAAAGAGATACAGAAAAATAAAGGAGCAATTAACATATCATAAATTAGAGATTATCCCAATTCTATTAGCCTCATAGAGTGTTCCATGACTCTAACAAGTTTGTGGCTATTACCATACCTGGTTGATGCAAAACCCCAGTTTCTGACTTCTACATGGACAGAATGTTTTCCGGGAGACAGCTCTGGTAAAAGGCATCTAATATCTGTGAAGTTCCAGTGGAGAATTTGGCAGGTTTTCCCTCCAACATACACCACCACGTTTTGTGTGAGTTCATTTCCAAAGTTATAACCCTTAATTGTTAAATTAACATCTCCTATTATTAAAAAAAAACATTTGCAGAAAGGTTCCATTTATTATCCAGTGTGAAGTTTACATATTAAATAAACCAACTCATTTATCTTTCATTGGACTTGAGAAATCCTAACACTTTCTGAAGAAAAGGTAAAACAAGAGTTAACAACTTCAATATAGATATAAAATTTATGTTTAATTATTTCAGAAGAAAAAAAGCAATAGGACAAATTACTTTTTTAAACAAATAATATTTTTCTCCATACTGCACATGTTCAAAGTACAATTAATTATAAATTGAGCGATATTTGTTTAAAAAAACTTGTTTCACTTTAATAACATTGAGGAAGAAATTATGTTTCAAAAGACTTTCTAGATGTGATATCTGTGTAAAAGAAATGATTACTTTTATTGAAGAATGTCTTACCTAGAATTGTCCGTATTTTTGGACTAAAATCCATTATAACTGGCGTCTGTAAGCAATTATACCTAAAAATATTCCTGGAGGTGGCTTGAAATCCATTAGTAATAACTGAAATATCAACTGTACCCTCACTTCTCTAAAATAAGTGGAAAAATAAAACAATTAGAAAATATTAAATACTAAGATATGGAAATTCAATGTCTGAAAATAAAATGAATTATTAAAAAACTTCTGAAGATGATTTGTTGGTGTCAAATATAGGCTAAACATGTGAATTCTCAAGAGAAAGTTTTATGATATAGTAGTTTGTGGGTTGGATGATCAATTTAATTGAATCTAAAGCTTTGGATTTTAACAGCTATAAAATGTAGTTGAGATGCTCCAGACAAGTGGTTCTCCAAATGATAAAGGCTTAGATACTATAACCTTTGTCTTTTTGCTCATGAAATAGACTCAAATGTAACTGTTAAGCAATTTCATTAACAAATCACATTATTATATCTTTTGCTTATCTAGTTCTAGAATCCAAAACTAAACAGTTGGATTCCTAAGAAGAATACTTGGTACTTTTACTGATATAGCACCTACACAGTGCCCAACTAGGAAAAACAATTTTCCATCACCAAGTATGTATTTAATGAACATTCAGTGTGTAACTGAATGTCATGATTTAAACAAAGTAATTTTTGATGTATAGCACTCCAGATTCTCCTCCCCATCATTCAGCCCAACACACACTCAAATTTATTTTTTTTACAAATCACAACTTCACAGTGCGCCCCCTTACTGTGCTACATTTTCATATCATTATCCTTTTGCACATAATAAACAAACCAGAATCTTTGTTTAAATTTAAAGACTATTTTTAAGGTAAAGAATAATGCTCATACTAAATTGTAGTATCCCATGGAGAACTTCGCTTTTTTTTTGTCAATGAATTGAAACTTTAATACATTTAAAAAGTAAATTATTTTTAAAAATTAAAACTTTTGAGATTTATTTGCCTGGGTTTCTGAGACTATTTTGTACTGCTGGCTCATTTTTTAAAACTTTTATTTTACCTGGTAAAATTCTATTCATCTTCAAGTGCTGATAGTATGTTAACGTGTCTTACTTTGTATGCACTTCTATTATTTCAAGGGGAATGGAGTACTTAATTAATATGAGTTTGTGTGTCTGTCTTTTTGCATGATTTTTAAGTACATAGAACGTGGAGATATTTTTTCTGTGAACATTTGCAGAAAGATGTTGAAGAAATGACCCTGACGAGCCTGATGGAAAATCTAAAATTTCTAGAAAATGTTTCACTTGCTTAACCTTCTGCTCAGATATTCCCTAATTTGTAAGATTTTGAACTAAGAGGAAAATGACAAAAATCAGAGGTCTTACTTTTGGTGTTCTACAGGTTATCCTATTCAAATTCCCTTCAATCACACTGCAGGTTTCATTTCCAACTAAAACCTCTGAATTTTCACTAAAGCCAAATCCAGATAGAGTCAATACAGTACCACCTTTATAAGAAAAACAAAGAGGGAAAAAGGCAAAAAAGCAGATCAACTATAACAAAAAGAAATGTTGGCAACATCTAAACAATAATACTGATATACAACCCACATTTGTTTGGGGGCATTATTAGCAGCAACATCTATTTTTCACAGTGTTTCCTTCATACTCAAGACAAATTATGCTCTTTCTGTTCATTCAATCATTCCAGAGGTGGGAAATAAGAGTGAATTAAGACCCTCACAAAATCCCCAATTTTAATACCTCCAAGTGAAATAAAATTAAAGGAAAAATGACAAAATAAAAATAAAGTAAAATTTGTATAAACACCAGAAAGCTCAAAACAAAAGCACAAAATCCCAAACTAAGCATGATTTAAAAAAAAAAAGACAGAGAGCCACCAAACACGAAGCAGGACAAGAAAAATGCATTATTTTTTTCTCCATCCTCTTTCTCAGCCTCCCTTGGCTTGATTAGTTCCCAGAACTTTTTCTGGGTCAAGTAGCTCCATTGAGACCATGGTTACAAATGAAGCAGCTGGTAGGCAGAATAATAACTAATAAATCTTATCCTGACATAATTAATGAGCTTGTTATGGAAACATGTAATAATTGATGATATTAATTCAATAACCTAAGATATAAGTATAAACAGTCACCCTGATTTGTGCTTCCTAAGAAACAAAAGAATTAACCAGCCATTTAATCACCATACCTTCTAAAAAGAGACTCTCCTTTGTTCTAGATGAGAGAACTTTGAGTTCCTCTCTCTGTGCCCTATACCCAAAACAGCACAATGAAATGCGGAAAAAGTACATGACTGTCTCTGATGAGAACTATCAACTATAACTTATTACCTGCCAGGCTTCCAGAATCAGGCCAGATGTGTGAGAGCTGACTCTGATAAATGAAGTGGAATCCCTTACTGTCTACATTCTGTGCTAGTCCAACATCAGCTACAGACACAGCAACTGGTAAATGTCCAGCGCTTCCATTCACAATCTGGCACTTGATCTCATTTTCTTGTGATAAAAAGAAGAAAGGAATGATAAAGCAAATGAGTTTTTTGAGACAAAATTACTGAAAATTTGTATTTGTAAATATTAACATTTACTTTCATTTTTAGATCCCATAAATACATTTGAAGACAACTATCTAAATATTAATAGGAAAGGAGGATCTTGGGGGCAATATTTTTACCTAATTTATGAATCAGGCACTCCTAGAAAATAGATAAACCAATGATGAAGGCAAGGTAAAAGAAAGCTGTCATAATTTTTTAAATCCTAATTTTCAACTGCATTTATATTAATAATTCTAAAGTTTTTGGTCCAACCCATTGTTTATGTCTAACATTGAGTACTGTATGTTTTATCAATAAAAGCTAAATTAAAATATTTTCTTCACTTTATTTAGAACAATCTATGTATACTGATAAGCACAATATTGGATGTTTGGGCTCAAGAATGCATAGAAAATTTAAATTATAAACAACAGAAATGAATTGCTATATGGATTTGCTTACATAATTCCAATCTATTTAAATTAAGGAAAACACCTAGAATCATGAGCGATAACTTTAGGAAATAGAAAACTATGGCCCTCCCAATTTCAAGAGGTAGATAATGTAAAACTTTTGCATCATTGGAGAGAGATTCTGTTGGACTGGAAGTCAGGGTAAATGGCCACATCCTCTTGCTGCATGACCAATGCAGCATTGTGAAAACACCAGCAGGAATTCTGGAACACTAGAGCAGGACTTTGGACATGTTTGTGTCCCAAACAGACCAATACAAGAAAGACCTCATGTGACCACTTTGTAAAGGATAAAAAGAGAAAGAACAAAATTAACTGTTACAAGATAAAGACACTGTATAACCATGAAACATTAGTCTTTGATCATAATCAAAGACAAACTATTATTCAGGCCAGGTTATCAATTTCATGACACCCTAGGTACACCAAAGGAATCATATTTGTAATACAGCTTTTAGATTCCACTTTCTCTTAGAGAAGTACAACCAGACTTTATAATTTCAAAGAACCTACCATCCACGGAAAGAAGAGAACAACCAGTAGATCCAACGGAGACTGATACAGCTGAGCTAGGAGAAAATCCAGAGCCTACTATGCTTAGAATTGTGCTTTCTTCATAGGACCCTGAAAGTGACAAAGTTTAACTAACAACATTATAATAACAAATTTAGAATCTGTAGTTATAAAATCCAATATTTATCAGAGAAAAATAAGCTTAACTTCTAAAAGATGTAGACAATAAGCCTAAAAATAGCAGAGAAAAAACGATTCATTTGGTGAAGGTACTTTTTCCATTGAATTATTCTGTCTTGCTTCATATTTTGAATCTATGCTTTATAGAGATCAGAGGGAAGAATTACATGATTGAAACAGACATTTCTGTAGAGTAGCTTAATATATGACAGACTAGCCATTACAAACACATGAGGAAAGGTTAACCTATACAATAAGTGGTATAGACACTTCCATTTTGTAAAGAAAATGATTGCTCTATCTATTGTTACATAAATCCTAAAGTTTGTAGGATATTCCCTGTTTACACCTGCTGTCTCAGTATTTTAAACTTAAATGTTTTTCCATTTACTCTTAAAAGTGTCTGGGTTTAACACATGAAATACATGATCTACATATTTACATACCATCACACATAATATAAGTTCCATGTGGAATTAAATAGCTAAGAATGAAAAAACAGAACTCCAAAATTTTAAAAGTAAATATAATCTGATCTCTTGAGGTCAACATGGGTTTCTTAAATAAAATTAAAAAGCTATAGTTAACATATATGTGAAGCAAGATACATAAATCAATGATTTAAATGTTTCCACGAACCATATACTAAACCAAAATACAAGTTATACACTGGTAGAAGACATGTACAAAGTATTGGTAAACATAATATATAATAAATAGCTACAAGTCAATTTTTAAAAGACAACCCAGTAAAAAATATAAAAGATGTTAAACAATTTTTAGAAGTAATCTGCGTGTCCAAAAAATAATCTGAATGTCCACAAAATATATAAGATTCTCATGCATATTGCTAACCAAAGAATAGGCAAATTCAAACAAAGACAACTTCATTCACAGTTTGGCCATAATTAGGAAACTGATAATTTCAAATATTGGCAAGGATATGGGGAAGATCATGCTCTCATACCAGCTAGTATTAGAACAAGTTTGGAGGACAATTTAGTTATCTACTAAACTGAATGCATAAATACCCAATCATTATCCAGCAATTTCATGTCCAGACAGGACATATATTCTTAAGACATTCTAGAATATATGCAATGGCAGGTTTGTAAAGGAAGCTCAAAAGAGTTATTTGTAAAACAAAAAAATTGTAAACAATCTAAATGCCTATCAAGAGAGGAACAAATAAATCCATGTGTTTATGAAGTACTTTAAAGTGACAGGAATACCTACAAGCACATACAGTATCTCAAAATGCATTATGAATGACAAAAGTAAGAAACAACAAGATATTTACATTGTAAGTGCTCATTTATAAGCTTTAAACATGGCAAAATCACCATATGTGTGTGCCATATGCAAAAGATGTTAAAATGGCATGGAAGAATGCACACAAAATTAATTACTGTGATTGCCTCTGGGGACATATATAGGGGACTAAAACTAAGGATGGTGCTTTAAAAAGACTTTAGCTGTTCCTTTAATATTTTCTTTCTTTCTTAAATTGATAATTTGAAGTGCATATGATCAATATTAACAGCTGTCAACTTTCAGTGAAGAAAAATGTTTTATATCATTCTTTATCCTTTTTGTCATTTTTAAATTGATTATAACATAATGAAAAGCAATTCAAATTGTTATTTTAAATAAAGAATAATCTTTAAGAAGTGCATATAAAAATAGAATCTCATTACAAAATGCAAGGATAGATGCAAAAAACGGTACCAGAGGACTATAATAAAATGTCCATCAACTTCTTATTATTGATATTCATATGTAATATGAATTATCTTAAAGTTAATATCATTATTATAAAAAGTCTGAGGATAATAGTTTTTCAATCTAAAATAATAGCACTGTTTTAAATTTTTAAATGCTTTTTGGGGGGTATGGAATGATATATAACTAGTGGAGAAAGTTTCCTACTAGCCATCACACTCAATATATGATCATAGTACCTAAGCTTATTTTTTTGATTGGAAAAAATCACCCCTTATGATTCTTATTCCTGCTGCTTACTTTCATCTCCAGGAGCTCAGACACAGAGTATAATCACATTTTTTTGAGCAATAACATGCTATGAAGAAAATGGTACAATGTGTCCTCTGGACTAGGTGAGTTCTTGCCAATATGTTTTCTCTTATTCTCAAACGTAGCACCTAATCATTTTTTTTTTGTTAAACAGCAACTGTGTTGTTACTAGCCTTTGAATGCTATGTCTCCTAGAAAAAGTGATCTCACATGGCAAAGGATTCCAATTAATATCTTACTTTAGTTGAACAAAAATGCCTCGAAGTCAGAGTAAAATTTTAAACTTGATTCCAACTGGTGAAAGTGGAGTATAACAGCTTAGCAATTGATATATATCAAAGACTGTACTTCAGCTTCAAAGACATTTTTTTCCAAAATAAATAATTAGTGTTTTTCCCAAAGTACTCTTATGTGGTAATTTTCTTTTTTTCTTTCTTTTTTCACTTTATACAATGACCTGCTTGCTTTACTTGGTAATACCAGAATAAATATATATTTTAAGAATCATTATCAGAGTTAGCATTTTGCTAGTTACCTTCCACCTCATACTCCAAGTTAAAAAGCAGAACGTTACCTTGAGAAGGGCTTATGGCCAAGACTTGGGGAGTGGCCGTGGAATCCCACGTAAAACTACAGTCACCCGAACATTTTGCTGGAATTCCATTGATATAGACTTCAACCTTTAGGAAAAGAAACACAGACTGCTGAAAACAGGCAAAGAGGTAGCAGGGTTCAGTAGAATATGCAACAGGATTTGGAATAAATGGAATTCTGTTTGCTTGCTTGTCTACAAAAATTAGTCTATATATTTTTTATGTTGATATTCATGTATTCATTTGGCAAATGTGTCCACTGTGTATCTGGCACAGTTGTGAATGTTAGGGCTATACAGTATACAACATTAAACAAAACAGATGATATCCTTTCTGTCATCCGACTTATATTCTAGTAGAGATACTTACATAAAACCATAAATGAAGAAAAGTACAGACATATCATGCTGGGAGTTAATTAGTACCATGAAGAAAAATAGAGGTTGCTCTTAGGAAACTTACTAAACTCTTTACACTTTAATTTCCTCCTTACTAGAATGGAGACATTAATAATTACTTCACAGAGCTAATGTGAAAATTAAATTCAAAAATATATTTTCTAGTTCTGGCAGTAGTTGATCTTACGGACTCATTACTTTATCATAAGGCAGATAATTTCCCAAAAAGTCAAAAAATAATATTTTTGAGTTGATCAACTTTTAACACAAATATTCACATAAAAACAGACAGGTCATCTTCCTGTTTTACCATATACAAATTAGTTATATATTTAAAATCAAGTTATACATTATGAGAAAAATTTCAAAAATACCTGTGTCTGTTGATGGGGTGTACGAAGTAAGTCTCCAAGAATGCGCTGTCTGAATAAGCCACCTTCCTTTATCTTTGTAACGGTCATATTAGCCTTTTCTCCAATAATATTGGAATCATTAATCTATTTTTACACAAAATGATTTTACTAGAACAGCTATGGTAAGAATAACCATACAAGTTTTTCTTAAAATTTCAGAATTAATAAACCTGAAGAAAATGCACTATTAAATTTGATTTTCTTAAAATGTTTTACTCTTTTGCTGAATATGACCACTTTGATAGATTATTGTTGAATAATTGAAAATAGAGTCTTCTTTCCATCTGATATTCCACCTTCCTTTTTATTATTTTATACCTATGGCTCTTCTGGTTTTTCACCCACTCCCTGAATTTTTTTTTCCCCAGTGGTAAAAATGAAACCACATCAAATCAGGATGTACAATCTGGTCATTCCAGAATCCCTTTGCCAGTACAGTAGCCTTCTGATGGATACAGGAACTAGGAAAGAGAGTAGTCTCCATGCTGACCCACACACGAGACAAATTACGGAGGAAAAGAAATGATGAGGAAGCAGAGAAGACTGGTCAATAAAGAACAAAGAGAGTGTGTGTAGACCAATGCTGATAACAGGGGGGAGACCAGTCACAAGAATTGTCTTAGTCCTGTTATTTTTTAGTTCTAGTTCCTTGCCATGTGTTCTTTTAAAACAACCACCATATCTGTGAGACTATTGCTGTTTTGCACATTCATGTAGGCTTTTGTTCTACGTTATACATATTTTTTTGTCTCCTACTTCCCTGCCTCTCCTCCTCTACTCACAATTTCTTAAGTAGAGTTCTATGGTTTTCCACCTTAAGTCATGGGTGTCTTTCCTGGTAAATATATGTGAGTCTACGTATTTTTCATAGCAACCATTCTACTATTGATGATTTTTAAGTTTCTAGGCTTTTAGTAGTAGCACAAAGAATGCTGTAGTGACTACCTTTTGACTACCTACATCATTTTACATCTGTATTATTCTTTCAGTAGGATAGAGTTATATAAAGGAGATTGCTGAATCATAAAGTATCTATATTCAGATACTACTATACAGTCCTCCACAAAGGTACTAATTTACCTTCTTACTAACAGTGCATGGGAGATAATGTTTCTCACATTCTCATTACCCCGAGGAAACACCTTTAGTTTGCTTTTGGACTACTTTTCTTCACATACTCTGGGGATGACTTTTCCCCCACTATAACTAAGCGATGGTAACTGAATGATCTCCAGGTGTGACACTGTTGTAGACTTGAAAAGGCCATCTTTATAATCACAAAAACAAACAAGGTCACAGGATATAGATCTAGTGTTAGAGTTACACTGAGCCTGATTATTCTTGGCCCCTTCTTAGAGTACACCTAGATTTTCTTCTGAGGATCATCTAGCCTGTATTCCTCCTGCTTCTACTACACACATTCCCAGACTTCCATGTGGCACAGAGAATAAAGTACCAAACACTGTTCTCCATGAAAGAGAACACCTGGTCAACCTAGGGTAGGACAGTCTTCTGTTCAAATTCCTTAAAAATATTTTCTGTCTATAGGTTGAATTTTTAAAAACTTCACAGCCTCCCTTTTTAGAATGAGGCAGAGTACTGGAAAAAAAAAAAAAAAAGCAAATACGTAGAGGGAAAGAGAAGCCAAGCCAAATGAGGGAACCTGTAGAAGATTCTGCTTTCCACATGCGCTTCTCCAGGTGATGCCCCAGGAGAATCCAGCGCAGGTTCCCTCTCGCGTGACGGAGACTCGCCCCACCTCCTCCAGGCTCTGTAGAGCAAATTGCAGGTCTGCAGCTGACACAGTAGCAGGGATACCTGCACTCACAGAAGGACAGCAAGCAACAGAGGTCAAAAATCACAAACCAAATTCCCCCTTAAAGTACATGAACCACGTCACTTGTAACCTACACATCCCCCAATACAGTGAGAATGAAATTTGTACCTTATTTATGTAAGCATTTATATATTTCTGGGAAACAAAAATTCCATTACCAATGTACCTCAAACTGTGGCCTTGGCTCAAAAACTTTTTTATTTTTAATATCAATTCACTTTATCAATGACATAATTTATGGACATAAGAGAGGAACAAACACTTGGGAATATAACCCAGTACACCTGATTGAGGCAGTGAAGAAAATATGAAAATGTCATTTGTGCTAGATAGTTTATTTTTATATTACTGGCATAATCTATATACGTCATTTATAAAATCTACTTAGATTATGTACAGAAATACTACTAGAGTGTACACCAAAATGTCTGTTATGATTATCTAGATCAACACTGCCAAATGATACTGTGACCACATACACAATTTTAAAATTTTCTATTTTAAAAAGTAAAAATAAACAAGTAAAATGATTTTAATAATAAATTTTATAATTACATATATTTAAATGCTATTATTCCAACAACATTAAAGTGATACAACAATGTTATTTATTTCAATACATGGCACTTGTTAAATTCCAAGGCTCATGAACAATGCAGGACTAGATTGTACAGTTCAGGTCGCTGATAAAAATAATATTCCAATCCTCAATTTTGATAATATTGTAATGTTATCATTATTGTTTCTGGCTACTGTAGTAATTTTTTCAAAAATGTGCCAATTAGATAAGAGCATGATGTATGAAGGCCGTAATTTCAATCACCTTCAGCAAAATGAATGCTCAGAGTCTGTTATATTTTTACAGACTTTTAAATATTACTTCTAAATAAAAATATATGACATTGGCTTTGGGTGGATAAGTTCTTTTTACTCCAGTAAAAGAAGAGTGTAAAACAAACACATGATTGGTCATATGTGCTATGCATTATGTACACATTTGCATAAGGAGGCATTTGAATATTAAAATAAGAAGTAGTAATTTTCAAGTGAAATAATATTCAACATGTTATAGACTATGCATACATATGTGTGATTTCAATGTTCTGAACATCTTTCATTTACCTTTTATAACATGCCCATAAGCTTGAATGTCAAAGCTGCCACTTATAGGTGGAGAAGCTTCTTGAATTCTTTGAATACGAATCTTTGACTCTCCTGGCCAATTATTCCCTCTATAAACAGACTCATTTTCTGTCTCATTTGCAATTATCTAATTTCCAAAATAAATATTGATAAAATGATTAAACTGAACAATGGCTAACATGATTTCTATTTCATCACGGTACAATCCTGTGACATGACATTAATGAGCCTCATGTATTCATGATTCTTCAGAACATTAAGGAGAGTTCCATAAATCAACACAGGCCAGGCCTATATAGCTGCAATAATGAGACCAAAGTCAACCCAGTCATCTGGGCAGCCATCAGCTGGAACCACAGTAATACCTTATTAAATCAGAATGTACCCTCCGTCACTCAAGTAGCAAATATTTATGGAGCAGGCAAAGTACAAAGCTCCGCACTGTGGGGAGGCAAAGAAACATAAGGTGCAATCTTGGCCATCAGAAAAGTAAAAACCTTTTTGGCGAAATGCAATATAAGGACTTAACCAAAAATATAAGTATATGGTCAGTAGAGTGACTGACCCAGCCTCACCAAATCCTTTTAAAATACCAAGCCACAATCAACTGACAGCAAAACATGCTGTAGAAATTCACAGATTGTAATTCTAATAGTGAAAATGATGTTTTTTCACTGCTGATGCCTCAGAGTTATCTATTAATCCTATAGAATTTAAAATGATATCGAAATGAGGAAACGCAAGTAGCAGAAGACATATTCAAGAATTTCCATGTCAACTTTACTCATAATAGCCTCAAACTGGAAATAATGCAAAAGTCCATCAACAGAATGGATAAATTATAATATGTTCATACCACAAAATAATGTATATCAATGAAAAAGAATGAACTACATGTAGTAAGAATCTCTCAGTATTCAATAGAGGAAGCTAGACAAAAAAAATTTATAATTCCATTGATGGGAAGTTTAAAATGGATAAAATTAGTTTATTATAGTTGAAGTAAAAACATTTGGGTGTGTGGGGTGAGTTGTCTATTGTCAAAGAGAAGATACAAGGAAAGCTATCAGGAAGCTAATGATTTCCTTTACCTTAATCTGGATAGTGATTACATGAGTGTATTTACTTTGTAAAAATTCATTCAGTTCAGCCTTCACGAGCAACACACAAAAACTAATCACATTTCTAAATACAAATAGTGAAGAGGTAGAATCTGAAATTGAAAATGTAAGATGATTTTCAATTGTTTCAAAGAAAATGAAATCAAACAAATACGTTCTGGATTTGATCTGAAATTTTTGTAATTCTGATAAAAGTGATCAAAGATAACCCAATCTAAATATGTTGATTTTTAAAAAGAATAACAAGAAGATCTAAATAAGTGGAGGCATATACTGTGTACATGGATTTTGTTCATAGACTGAAAGAATCAACATACCAAAGGTGCCCATTTTTCTCAAAACAATCTTAATTCTTATTAAAATATCAGCAACTTTTTGTAGACATAAATAAGCTTATTTAAAATTTATATGAAAAGAGAAGACACAGAATAGCTAAAGCACTTTTGCACAAGAAAAACAAATGAGAGGATCTCCCTTTACTCAATGTCAAGGGTTACTCTATAGGTACAGTAATAAATATACTAAGGTATTGGTAGAAGGAACACCAATAGAAAATGGAAAAGAAAGACAACCTGGAAGTATAACCACACTATAATTCCCAAGTGATTTTTCACAAAGATACAAGAATAATTCAGTAGAAGAAGGATAATGTTTTCAATAAATGGTGTTAAAGTAACAAGAGCCATAAGCAAGCAAATGAACCTTATCCTAAAACTACATTTATCAAATTAACACAAAGTGTATCATGGCCTTTAGTGTAAAATTTAAATCTATAATACTTTTAAGAAAAAAATTGAAACATCTTTAGGATTTCAGGCTAAGAAAATAGTTCTTAGGTTTGAAACCAAAAGTACCACTCATAAAGGAAAAATTCATAAATTGGATTCCAAAACTTTTGTTCTGTGAAAGATCTAATAAAATGAAAAGGTAAAGTATAGTCTCAAAGAAAATATTTGTTAACTATATATCTGACAAAGAACTTGTATGTAGAATATATGAAGAGCTTTTAAAACTCCGAAAAACAAAAAATACAATTAGAACACGGAGAGAAGACATTCACAGAAGACATTTGAGTGACAAATAAGCCCCTAAAATGATGTGTAACATCATAGCCATGAGAGAATGCAAATGAAAACTACAATGAGTTACCACTATGAGTTACCTATCAGAATGGCTAAAATGAAAAAAGTTTGTGTAGAAGCTGGGTCATTCGTATGTTGTTGGTTGGAATGTAAAGTGGTACAGTTATTTTGGAAAAGAACGTGGCGTTTTCTTAAAAAAATGATATGTATGCTTACCATATGATCCCATAATTGTTCTGTTGGGCCTACAAGTCTCCTAGATGAAAGTATGTATAAAAAAACCTATAAATGAATGTTCATAGCAGCCTTGTTCAAAATATCTCCAAACAGGAAACAACTCAAAATGCTCTTCAATGGGTAGGTGGCTAAGTACACAAGTACATCTATACCATTAAATACTACTCAACAACCAAAGTTAGCTACCAATGGACACGTCTTGGATAGATCTCAAGGGAATTGTGCTGGATGAAAGAAACCATCACAAAAGGTAAAGCACCAGTATGCCTAAGTGAGTTCTGATATCATTCATATAGCATTGTTGAAATGACAAATTATAGAGACAGATTTGTGAGTTGGAAGCTAGTGAGGGAGGCCGCCTGGCTACAAAAGGATAGAATGAGAGATGTGAGTGATGGAACTGCTCCGGTGGAAGTCAGATAAAGGCACACTTGTGATAAAACTGTGTAGAGCCACACGCACACACGCACACACACACGGAGATGACTGCATATGAAAGTGATAAAATTTGGATAAAGACATGGGTGTATTACATCATTGTCAGTTTCCTAGTAGTTCTATTCTTCTATATTGTACAAGCTGTTACCACTAAGGGAAAATGGTGAAGGATATAGAAATATCTCCATATTATTTTTTACAAGTGAATGTGAATCTACAATTATCTGAAATTAAAGTTTTATAATTCCTGGTTCTGTACATTAAAACATTGCATATTACTGTATTTAGCTTTCATTTGAAATTTTTTAAAGGACCCAAAAATTAAGTCCTATATTTTCCAATTTAGCCTGGGATAAATAAAGTTAAAAGTTGAAATTACAAATTGTTAGTTTAATGAGAAACTGTTAAAAATGAGAGGTAGTGATAGAGATGCTTTGGAAACACAAAACTCTAAGTTAGTACATTTTATAATCAAACTAAGAGTAGAAGACTAGAAAACATTTCTAAAAAATTTATCTTGAAGTTAGAAAAAAACCGTGAGGCAGCAGGGGTAAAAGCAATTTTTTGTGTAATATTTATAGTCTTTCATTACCTTTAATTGTTAGGTTTTTTAGTTAGCAAAAAATTTTTGTGTCTTTAGTTACACATGTTCAATAAGGATTGAGATGGGATATGTATATGTATGAATTCCCCATGCTGAATGTATTATTACATATCACAAACATACAGTATTGAAAAAGAGGGAAGGAAAAAACTTGAATTTTGAACTTATTGATATTTGTTCTTAATTTGTGGTAGGAAAGAATATTAACTCATTTTAAAGGAATTAGAATTTTAAATGCTCATTATATTTTTAATATTCAGTAATGATCTTATAAATAACTCAAACAGCAGAAAATTATTCAGATTCTTTTGGCATTATGGAAAACATCTTTCCTCTTCATGTAAATTTTTATAACAGCAGATTAGATCTTGTTTATAATAGAAACCATTTAAAAACATAATGTAGAATATCAACTTTTCTTTCAATACAATAATTCCCATTTAAGGATATTTACTTAGAATATTTACTGAAGAATCCACAGCTTTTCCTTTTAAATCAACAAGAGAAGTTCTTTGGGGGGGGGGCGCGTACTGGGGATTGAACTCAGGTCCTTGCGCTTGCACAGCAAGCGGCAAAACCACTGAGCTAAACCCCCAGCCCAAGAAAAATTCTACTTAAACCTGAATTTGTTTCTTAAAAATAGTTCCTCATTTTCCATCATAGATGAATTTCTTGAAGAACTGTTTTAATGCTTTAACTCTATTTTTATGCTCAAATCTCTAGATCATCATTTATCCTTAGAATAACTCTTACCCTTTTAAAAGCTATTCAATTTGTATGTCAGCTATTTTTAAAAAATAGTAGAATTTACCATGTCAAAATTAATGCTTATTAAATTGAAAATAATAACCTACAAAATCCTAAGCTTACCTGTCCAAAGCTCACAGCCATCATGGGTATGTTGTAACTGCAATTATAAGACATCATGGTAACAGAATATTGGATTGTCATAGTTGATTCATCCTTTTTGCTCTGATTCACTTGAAACTGCTTTAAAAATATTCCTTTATTTGCTAATGCTGGAAGTCTTCTCTTTGCCATTTCTAAAGTATACAAATAAAGTAAGTGATAAATAAGATTGTATTGTTGATTTTTATTATTTTATTATCACATCTCAGATTATGTGTTTATTAATATGACTAGATAATATTTATAATCAAAGCAACGTTTCCATTCACAACATTATGTTCATGAAGTTTTCAAACAATCTTATTAGATAGATCATTTTAAGAATGGATCTCCTTCTTCATAGTTGGTTTCTCAAAACAAACAGAATAAAAATGCTTGCCACAATGTTTCTATTGAGAAGCAAAATCCAGACCTATAAAACTAATTCTTGCTATAATGAGAAAATTTTATTAAGAATATACTTAACTTGAAAATAATGGCCTTGCCATATTCATTAAAACATAAAATTAAATCATAATATTATTGACATGAAGGAAAAAATCATTAATAGGTAAAGATTCCTGTTTCTATCTGTACTACAGAATATAAGAACAATTTCCATGATAAGTTTTACTGTAGGATAAATTTAGAAGATTGCAGAAGACACAAAATGATACAACATACCATCCAGTGTTGAGGTTGTAGATACCTGTCCAATGTATACTACATCCACATAGAAAGATTGTGTTTCTGATGCTTTCTGTAAACTAATTCTTTGAAGAGAAAAATTCATCCCAGTCTGTTTACTCTGTATGAGATCCAGAAGATCTAAGCAAGTGTAGGTCCAGCTGAAATGTGGTTGATTAATTGGGTGTACAGATTAGTAACAAACAAATATACCATAAAAGTCGTTAAAATTTTTAAAGAATAAAAGCTACCCCCTCCAGAAAAAAAAAATCATGCATACTTTGTTAGTATAGAAAAGCAGCAGTGACAAGGCACAAAAGGCAGAAACTTAACCTTACGTTTCAGTAAGAATTAATGCTGCTACCAAGTATAGCAGTTGCCACAGGAATGTAAAGTAACATTCAGCAACAACAGATAAGGAAATTAAGAAGTATTATGAACTTTTGTGTAGAGCACATTAACAAAAACAAGACATAGAATAGAGTCCACAAATTTAGTTATAAATGTCAGAGATAGAATGGCAAGTTTAGTCCATTGGTAAGAGGCAAAAGTAGATATTGATACTATTTTCAAAAAAGCTCACTGCAGTGTCACTGTACATTACATTAAGTGGCAAAAGGGTGTTGAGGTATTTGGAGATGCAAGTGGTTGCGCAGTATCTTTTAAATGGATAGCCTAGATGTAGATTTCCATTAAATGTTAACTGCACTGAAACCCCATTAATTACAATCAAGCAACTCTGCTATGAGAGTTTGTGATAGATAAATGCTGTATTCAAACAATTAAATATAGTTTGACAGTAATTTTTGCATTGATCACTACTGTAGTTATTGACTGCTCTCTTTGAGCACCTTCTGTTCTCATTTTCTTCATCTTTTATAAACTCAAGAGATTACCTCTAGTGCCAAAAAGCTTAGACCACACATTATCAGTTTTTTTAGAAAAGTTGTATGCGCAACTACATTGTTATGGCACTGTTTAGATTTCAGAAAGCACTTTGGGCCTCTAAGGAGAATTGTACTATTAATTTTATAATTCCAAAGTTTTAACAATTACTACTAGAAAACTTGATACACCAAAGAAGATCTTGTATAAGAGGAGATTGCAAATGAAAGTAGAACTTAAGGTGACTGCACGTTGTGCCATTGTAGCTGGATAATTACAATTTTTAAAAGGAAGGGCAGTAATTCTGAATTTTGGAACTTAATTTACAACTACAAACATTACTGTTTTTGGAAAGTTAGAGAATGAAATTAACATTAACACATCTACTTGACCTAGGTGAGCTCTGTGGCCTACAAACAGGCTTAGAAATACCCATTCAAGGTAAGTGAGTTTTGTTTTTTTTTTTTGCTTTTATTGTTAATAGTTTTTATGGCAGAACTCTGCACCATTCAAAAATCATGATATTCTTGTTTTAAGATCTTACACATTTAGGATAAAGAAAACTCATCAGTTCTAACAAATCTAGTACATTTTCAAATGGCTGAAGAAAAGAGAAGTTGCAGGCTAAATGGAGAGACCTGCTTATTTGATAAGGTGACAGTTTGACTACTATTGAAGAATAAGGTCTAAAATGTTACAAAATCCTACCACGATGGAGTGAAAGGGATGCAGGTAGTGGCCCTCAAAACTAAAATTGTGACTCCACTGTTCATTTAGGGCTTGCAGAGAATTGTGGCAAGATCTGCTTTCAGATGTCCCTTCAAGGAGGAATGCAGCTTCATTAGGATCCATCGAGGGATTACTCAAGATCTGAAGCAAATTGTGCACGACACACATTGTCTAATGTCCTGGTTGCAGGTTTCTCATGCACCTTGGCAGCAAACATGGGTGGGTCCACCTTGGTCCCAGCATTGCTTCTACCTATATGTGACTACCAATGATGTAGCCTCTTCTGAGTCAAAAATTACCATGTGGAACTACAGAATTGTTCCCTCTTGCTTCATTCATTCCAGAAGCTAATTTTGGTCCTAATGATACAATCAATTAAATTATAGTGGCCTCAAAGGCATGTATTTTTCCACTGGGAGATTAACACCTTTGCCAATACTAATACTTGGCTCTCTTTCTGTATCTCTGTCCCTCTCCCTCTCTCTCTCTTTCTCTCTCTCTCCCCTTTTTCTTCAACTTTTGTATCTATTTATCTGAAATAAATGTAATTTTAAAATGGCACACCATAGGCTATTAAATAAAATGTCAATGCCATTTGGGGGCTAAATCTGAACTATGGGGAAAAGGACCTTTCTCAGAAACATTTGTTTAAAATGATGTACTTTGTAAAATAGAAAAGTGTGTGTCTTCATTATTATTTCTATTATAAATAAAATTTTTGCATATATTACATATAGAAATGCAAAGTCAGGATTTACACAAATTCTAGAAGATAAAATAATTAGTAAAAACAAAAACATAATTATACAGAACTAAATTGTTCTTGAGATTATGGTAATTGTGGTCATTAAATAACATTCTCTAGGCTGATTCAATCACTTTATATTTCATATTTGCATTTCTACGTGTCTAACTTGCAGCAAAGTAAGCATCACTACAGGTTATCTTTTCCCCTTTTATCCTGATCGAGTCATCAGAATATTTTGTCTTCTCTACTAATACATTTTGATGTTGCTCTCTTTCTACCATCTTTGAGTACCTGGGAACATTATTGGATTCAATTATATATCATTTAAATTCTAACATTTAGCATTGTTTTGTCTTATAAGTGGTCATGGGTGATGATGACACTAGAGCAATTTTTATTGTCATAATCTATAGATTTCTCTCTAAAACAACAATTTTTGTTAGAAAGCATATATAGGAGGCCAAAATTATAGTTAGATCCACATGCACATGATTTCCCCATCCCCAAAACAAAACAACAAAAAGCAAGAGATGAATTTATCTTTATAGTTTATATACTATAGTACAACTTGTTTTCAAATTCATAGTGTAACTCACCTCTTCCCATGAGCAAAGTTATATATAAATTGTGTATCTTTGCTTCTAGTAATCTTGCCACTGTCTTGGTACTGAAATTTGAGGCCAATATAATTTGCCAAGAATCCTTTGTATGCTAAACATAACTATATGAGAAATACGAAAAAAATCAGTAACAATATCTTGTGATTAAATTATTTTGTCACAATTCAAATTAATTCAATCCAATTCTATAAACATTTATTGAGCATTTTCCATATAAAATGAATCAGAACAGAGAGAAAGGAAAAGAAAAGAATGGTTAATTTCAGCCAGATGTTGGAGAAGAATTGGGGAAGTTTTATTGACAAGGAAATGGAGTTGAAGTGACCTACAATTTGTGACTGTTTTTTGTTTTCTTAGATGTAACTTCCTTTAAAACTTGAAACAATTCACTTCTTATGGAAATGTACTATGTACTAACCCTAATTAAAATTTTCAATAAACTTAAAAGTCCATTCCATGTAGAAAAAGAAGGCTGCTAACATTCAGGTAGATTAACTGGGATGTGAATACTGTTGAATATTTGGAGATAAAGATAAAATGTCAAGTAGTAATCAAATACCTATTTTAATGATGTACAACTCCTTAAGCATGTCGAGTGTTTCAAGAACTTAGAACTTTAGAACATGTACCACAATTTGAGAAATTTTAGAAAAAAGAAAGCGTAAAGCTAGTCTTAAATACCCTTACTAAAACTACCATCGTCTCAGTTCATGAATTTCTTTCACTTTTCCCCAACTAAATATTCAAGATCAGTCTATAATGGCTACCCATTTTGTTTTTCTCTATTAGTGAAGAAAAATGGAGATTATACAATATTTAACTTGTGTGCAAATAATTTCTTCTAAGATCATGAGTTAAGTAGTGCTATATATTTTTTCTTTTCTTCTTTCTTCCTTCTTTCCTTCCCTCCCTCCTTCCCTCCTCCCTCCCTTTCTTTCTTCATTTCTCTTTTTCTTTCTTTCTTTCTTTCTTTCTTTCTTTCTTTCCTTCCTTCCTTCCTTCCTTCTTTCTTTCTCTTTTCATATTTGAGAATCATCTGAAAAAAAATCAAAGAAGCACTCAGGGTGTGAACAGTGTCTGTCTAACAGACATGATTTCACATGACAAGCACTTTTCCTTGTTTTAAAATTTCATGAAATTTTATTACCAAAGTATTTTCCAGATTCAATTTGCATAGCATTTTGTTCAGCTTACCTGATTATAAGGAAATAATAAAATGTTTCCATATGGTAGTCTGTTTGATTTAGCATCTGCTGAGTCAAAAAGAACAGATGGGTTTTTCAGGGAATAACGACCACAGTAAGCATCCGTTTCAGCTGTCTTCTGCCCTCTATTAACATTTTCCTACAGAAACAATATTATTTCAATTGAAAACATGATTTATTGTTTCTCCCAACATTCCCAACGAAGTTGTTAAAGTCTAAATAGGATCCTGCAGTTTCCCAAACTGCTTTAATTTGAAATATCCTCTCCTGTCTCTGAAATTCTAAAGTTTTCATTCAAATCCATACTCACAGAATCCCTTGTATTTGCATTTGATTATTTCCCAAGTCCTATCTTTCTTCTTATGAGTTCCTTCAGGATATTCATTCCTCCCATGAATGTTTATTCAGTGTTTGCTGTGTGCCAGGTTTTTGGTTTTTTGTTTAATCGCCAGAATTCAAGAACACTACCCCTATACACATATCTACCAATGTGGGACAAAAGAACCAATAATTATAATACTAAGGCTGAAGAGAGTTAATTAACTCACAGAAAATCATCAAGAGCAATGACTTAGAGGAAGTGACAAATGAGATGTTAAGAATTGCTCACAATGGAAAAGAAGGGCCAAGGGGCTTCAGAGAGACAGTAAAATATATGCACAAAAGCAAAAGCAGAGACATGAGAGAGTTTGGTGCCAGGAAATACAAATAGTTAAGGTTGGGTAGAGTACAGAAATGTATGTTGGGATGGTGATAGCAGATGGGATAGTAGAATGCAATCTTTATGGCTGCTAGTGCTACATTTTGGTACAAATACACTGATTAAGCTGAAAAAGTTGCCCATTAAGTAGATTTCCCTTTTTTGTCCTTAATAAATTTGCTCATATAAAGTGTGATGTGATAGATATTTTTAAGAATTTAGTTTAGTTCTAAGGTATTGATCTAAACTAAATAGACTGTGTATTTCTTATTCTAATAATACTCACTTGGAACTAGTGCATAGCTGGCTTCCTCAAGTCTTCAAAATAAGAGCTAGGAAGAATATTTAACTTTCCCCCCTTACGATATAGTAAATAAATACCAAAGGAGAAATGAGGATTAGGCACTGAACTGACCACAGAGTAATCTCCAAAAGCAAGGAAAGCAATTTACTATCTAATTCTGACTACCAATTGTATTCTATGAAGCCAGTAAAGAAAAAAGACATTTTCACCCATGTGAAAAAATAGCAAGCACTGTAAGTCTTACATTTGCCTACTTTCTTTCAATCAAGTAAATTCGTTTGTAGTGTATAGTTTTCACAAATGAATCATTTTGTAGTGTATGAACATGCTAGAACAAGCCCTACTAATAAATTTATAACAAAATTATTTTTGCAATTTGACTTTGAATAATGAACGAATTAATTCTAGCCCCCCAAATAAATCAGAAATTTCCAAAAGCTTATATAAACCCTTATTTGGTCAGTTTCAAAGTTCATTAAACAATGCATACCAAGTCAAAATCAGTTTCATAGTCTCGGAAGTATTTCACAACAAATCCTTCTTCAAAATGTGCAATTTGTGGTGGACATTTAGTACTAACCATTTCTTCCACAGCTACCTGAAACTAAATTAACAATATATAATTTAGTAATTTCTTTTTCATAAAATAATTCTTCAGTTAGTAATTTATTTGCTTCATCCACTATTTTTCAGTTGCTATTTACTATTAATTCTACTAATTACTTCTAGTAGGTATTTTCATAATTCCATGTTACCCACAATTGTGAGATTATTTCCTAAATAGTTTTGTTAATATGATCATTTTAGTGTCCAAGGACATTTTAGGAGTTTTAAGAATGACAATAGGATAGTTACATTCGATTGCCTATTACTAGTTTAGTTATTACATAACATAGCCATGTTCATTTACTTGTGTTTTAAAGAGTAATGAAGAGAATTTAAAGTAATTCATACCCAATTAAACAGATTCCAAATAATAGATTTTCCAACTCACTCGAAATTCACGGTAAAAGAACCTATACACCCCAATTACCCTATGTTTTCAATTAAGAGAGGCATAATATAAGCCTATTATTCATGATTATCTAAAAATAGTAATTCTGGATTATACAAGAATTGGTACACATTCATGACTCCCCTAAAACATACACATCTATTTCTCTGGAAAAGCACAAAAATAATTGTTGCTTAGAATTAAGGACTTGAGACAATGTATAGTCTTTAGTCATCAGACAAATAGTGACCTAGACCCACTGTACAGGAACTTTCCATGATCCAGTAACCCATGAGCACTCTTTTCCATGAATTGCTGGCCCACATACAGAAACATCAAGTCCACTGACACAGATCTGAGAATTTCCCTTTCCTTCCTGTTCTTCCTAGTTATGCTTCCTTCCTTCTTTCTTCACTGTGGATTGACTCCCACCCACCATGCCAAGTAGGAGAATGTGTTACTACTTCTCCAACTACTCTTTATAGATCATTGATATTTAGTTGCTTTTTATTGGATGAAATTACAAGATACTTAAACTTGCTCATTAAGCTTTTACACTAGGGCATCTCTCAAGGTCGTTCTGCCTTTTCTAGCTGACAGGTGAATTTGGGATGAAAAACAATGCCGGGGTAGACTGGGTAGAGGGACACAAAGTCTATACAAAAGCAAAGCAAGGCTCTGATAACTTTGATATGCTTTGTTCAGAAAAAACAGGCAGTTGTGGATGGACTCTGCGTCCCTTTTCAGACAAAAAAATTTTCAGTATATAAATTATGGGAGGTTGGTCAAATGCTAAAGATTTGTGGTGATTTTTAGAAATGATGCTTCTTTCTTTTCCTCATCTGTCTATAAATAGCCTGTGCGTGCTGGGGGAGGATGTGGGGAAGGTGGGTAATAGGAGGGCCGGTGGAGCGTACTTCAGCTTCTGAGGACCGCGGGGTAAGAGGCTTGGAAAGAATCCCATCCCAGTTCAGTGTGAATGTCTCCAGACTGGGTTTTCCTTTGGTTTGCTCTGTAATATCCACTGTGACATTATTCCCTTCAAATACTTCATAACCGAGCAGATCAAAGTCCCCTGCAGTGCATAAGCAAATAGAATTTTAAGGAATTGATTAATTGAAAAAAGAACATCTGTAATAGTTACTCAAATTTAATGAAATTGGTTTTACTTGTGAGTTTCATTAACACACACAAAAAAAGATAAATGGGAAAGTGAAGGTCCATAAATTTAAGTAGTTTATCTGTAACAGAAATAGCAAAACCACAAAGTACTATGTACTTAAGATTCTGTTTCTGTGTCTTAAGAGGAAATATACATAAGAAAAACAAAAGGATGTACTCTAACCATGAAGGAAGGATCAGTGGCCAGTAGGATATTCCAAAAATTATTTTATTGTCGTGGCAAGCACATTACTTTAGTGCAAGAGGCTTGAGTGGGATATTGCTACTTTCTTTAGATATGAATATAGCACGAAACTGACAGAGAAAACAGCTCTGAGCCTCAGGGTTTATTGATGTAATGCCGCTTTGAGAGAAAGAAGGCCTTGCTGTCAGATGTTTCTACTTTTTGAAAGGTTGCTTTACCAGTGGAATCTCATTGATCATCTGTATTGGATAAAGTCATAAAGTGTACCCAGTATTGATTTTGGTATTGTATTTCTTAGGGTCACTGCTGGAAGCTCGGTATTTCTCTCTGATCTATAAATAGTAGATCAACAAGGATGGCTATAATTTCATTTACATAGTGTTTGGACAAACTAACTTTCATGAAAATTTTAGATGTTCAGCTTATGTTAAAATTCTGCATCCTCTTCTCAATAAGTAAATTAATAACTTCATAAAATATGACATAAACTTTGAGGTACCATTTTACTTACATGAAGTGGAAAATAGCGATTGCCCAAATTAAAGGTGTGCGCGCACACACACAAACACACACACTCCCCCCGAAGGATTTACTGTCTGGGCTTAAATAGACCAAATAGCCAAGGTGGTTGCTAAACTTTATCATAATATTTCCAAACCTTTCTTGTGCAAGATATTAATATGAAGGTAAAAATTATTCACTGAAATTTTTAAAAGGTAAAGAGACCATATATGTCTTCACTAAACACAAGTGAATTGGATTTTTTACTGTCGGGTGCCTCGGACTTTAATATTCTAGTGAACTCTGCAAATCTTCAAGTAGGAGCCACAGTATGAAGTTTCCCTTGTGACTGTGACTACAGAGTCCTTTCTTCAGGTGAGATTTGGACAGAATACTGTCTCCTTAACAATACTGATTTCCTTACATTACATTTTCAGAATTAATATTCTGAATTTTCACTAATTTGTAAAATATATTCATAGTGTATTTATTTGTAGTGCATATCATGATTTTCTTATACAATGGGGTTGTATATTCCTTGAAATAGAACTAGAATTTAAATCACCACAGAAAAACATGAACCATTTAATTTCTAGGTATCCTGAAATTGAGCAAGGCTCTAAATATATTTCTGTTCCTCTGTCATTTCATGGAACTTTCACTTTTTTACAGTGGCTTTGCACAGAATATAATTTTTTTTTCTGGAGAAGTGCACAACGAAACACAAGCTTACCTCTATTTGATATGAAAGTTATTGTGTATATACGGCTCTGGAGAGCCTGTGTCCTTATCACTTGGACTGTATCGGGCTTTATAGACCAGAGGTCATTTAAAGCGGACTGCAGTATGACTTCAGAAGCATCAGCAGGCAGCAAGACTTTTAGAAGAATTGGGAGAAGAAAGCAGAAGAGTTGAAATCTTTCTGGATTACTGTGCCAAAATTGAAGTCTTGTATGTAACTTTTAAAAGTATCCATGCTCTGTACCATGTAAGTGAACAAACTTGGGGGAATTCTGCTCCAAAATTGATTCAGTTTAATAATATTGACTATTTAATTGATTTGTGATGTCTTTGTGGGCAAGGATTCTATTTTATGATTTTAATATTTCCATAGTAATAAGTAACGTATTTTGCAAATAGTATACACTCATAAGTATTTATCAGTTGAATAATTAACAGAAATGGCAAAAATCTTTAGGATTTATTATCAAATATAGAAATGTGTCATTAGTAACTGATAAATTAGTGTTTCTTAGGTCATTTAATTTGAGAACATGAAAGATTATAATGATTAATTCCCATTTTCTGAACTAGCACCATTGAGTCACAGATGCATGAAATCTAGTTACTATCATCCTTATAAAGGAAAATTATGGTAAACCTCAGAAAGTTGTTTATAATGATGTGGCCTTGTAGCCCATTCTGAAGGTTTTTCTTCATAATATAGTTTTCTTCTTCTTTATCTAACATATTGTTCAACCTTTATATTCCAAAGAGTAGCATGCACTGGAGCAAATACTTTATAGTTGTGTCTATATATAAAGAGAAATATCATCACTCTTATTGTTAGTATCTCACCAGTTTTTTCCGTGTTATAGATTAATCTGTATTGGTAATGTGAACATGAATTAGCGTCCATACATGGGCTGGTTACTGTGATCTTCTGAACTTCATTAGTGGCAATAGTTGTTTCCCAGTTTTCTAAAGTTATAACCTAGTTTCCAATTTAAAAATACAAATATTTAATATATAGAAAAATACACTTTAAATCTCCATAATTTAAATCACCATAATTCATGCCTTTTTATTGCTCTACTAGGAATGAGAAAATATTTTAAACTATGTAAAAATTTGTCTTATTGTGTAACAGCCTGTTTGATTTACAGTGTAGATCTTCTGAACAACAACTTAATATTTGTCTATGATAGTATTCTCCTAAAACAGCATTTAACCTACTGAAATTAATAGCTGAACAGAGCTTCCAGCTTTCAAAGTTTACTTTTGTTTTTATTTTTTTGAAGTGTTCAGAATCAAACCCAGGCCTTAGGACTGTAAGGTGAGGGCTCTACACTGAGCTACATCCCTAGCCCTAGACATTTACATTTGGGAAAGTAAATCTGTCATCAAAGCAAACCTGTACTTCCTGTATAATTGTTGACTGAGATTTTATAACTTGTTCTTCATTTATTGCATCTCCCGTTTGCTGTTCAGAATACACACTTTTATACTGGTACAGTCCAACATCAACAAAAGCACTTAATCTGTATTCCTGCAGCAAGATTTCAATATAATACCTGGAAAATAGAGTAATAAATATAATTCCCCCTGAACACTTGTTATGAAATCATTTCAATGAAAAAAAATCATTATATATAAAATCCATTAAATTATTTATATTGTATACAGGTAACCTGTATACATTTTAAATATGAAAATATTAAAAATTTCAAAGCAGTTTGCTGAAATAAAATTATGTAAGATATGTGTACTAGGAAAGAGTTATCCTTATACATGACCAATTCATTCAGCTTAATCAATAAATATTTATTGATGAAGATACAATCCCTTGTCCTCGAGGAGCTTAAGCAAATCCTGCTGTAGATCACAATAATAATTCCCTGGAGTACAACACAGAGGACATGCAGGACTTAAAAATGTTCAAGAAAATGAAAGGCAGGCTTAAACAGACATATCGCTTACTTTTTACCTGAGTGGTTGTATCTGTCCAAGATAAAAGTTCTTAATATGATTTGGATCTTAAATATCCCCCAAAGGCCTACGTGTTAAAAGCTCAGTCACTACCAGCCTGTGGCACTACTGTGGGGGAGGGAGGTTGGGAGGTGGAGCCTAGGGGACCCTGGCCTCTTCCCTCTCCGTCTCCCCTCCACTCTTCCCTTCCCTTTCTTCCTCTCTTCTCTCCTCTCTTCCTTGTTCGCTTTTCCCTTTCCCCACTCTCCTCCTTCCTCTTCCTCTTCCTCCTCTTCTCCCTCTCTTTCCTTCCAGGCTACCAGAAGGTGAACAGACTCCACAGGGTATTTTTCCACTGTCGCGTACAGTGCCACCACAGCCCCAAACGACAGGGCCCAGCCACCATGGACTGAAACTTCTGAAGCTGTGAGTCAAAATGGACCTTCCTCTTTGTAAGTGGATTGCCTCAGGTACTCATCACAGGGTGAAAGAAGGTGACTAATAGGGTCCTACTCTCACATTCCTTGAAGTTGGCTCTATTTGTAAACTGGGGAATAAGACAATGCCTTAGAAGGGCTGGGGATTTAGCTCAGTGGTTCCACCAACTGCTTCACAAGCACAAGGTCCCGATTTTGACCCCTGGTACCAAAAAAAAAAGACATTGCCTCAGGAAATTCTTACTGACTATACTGACTGATCCTCCAACAAGATGAGTGGGATCCACACCTTACATTTAGAGTTCTTGATTCTTGAGAACCCCTCCCCAACATCTGTTTAGCTAGGATAAATACCACACAGCAACTTGAAGACAAGGAAAAAGCCTTACTCTTTTCCTTTCTGAAGATAAATATCATCTGACCTTTGTGTTGGGCTGGAAAAATAACTGTTGGCATTGGCAGAATGATATGCAATCCTCACCTTATCGCAGAAAGACAGAAAAAAGAATTTTTAAATCTTTTAACATTTAATTTCCATTTATAATTGCTGTCAGTGTTAGAACTTACACGAATACAAACTTGTGAAACTCTTTCATATTTTCCTTCTAAGATTTGTCATCTATGACAACATGGAATTTTTAAAAAGTATCAGGTTCACGACATTCCTTCCAACCTTCATTAATACCAACAACACCTCACCAAGTGTACCACCTACATCATAGCTTTTCCATAATTAGAATGACAATGGAAAATAAAAAGGGACATATGAGGAAAAAGGTTGTTATTATTAAATAAAGATTCTTTTGCTGTGTGGAGAACTTTTAGAAACTCAATCCAAATGAGAGCCTTAGAGCTAGCTCTGAAAGATGCCAAAGATTTCTAAATGGTTCTGCCTACTACAGTGGGAGTACTTTACGCTTCCCATTAAGAATACTTATGTCAGGCCACTATGTTAAATTAGAATTCATAAACTACAAGTATCAATTTAAACTTATGCAACCATTTTGGAAAGCAATCTTGCCATATAAATTGACTCATAAAAAGTGATTTGATTTGATCTACTGCTTTCATACTTGTAAACTGTCCTGAGAAAATAATACACAATACAAAAAAAAAAGTCTGATGAACACAGATATTCAGTAAGGTATTGTCTTCATAAAAATTCAGAAGTTAAAAACGTATTAATAGGGAGCTATTTATCTAAACTTAATAAACCCATGTATGTGGTGTGATCAAAATATACAGTTAATGTTTAAATTTTTAAAAATGTATTACAGTAAAAGATACATTGCCATTAATCCCCCTGAAAAAAATATTTCCCCTCAATTCTAACACACTTTTCCCATCAACACACTTAAGCCATCATTCTGGGCACTTTCTGAAGTAGTTCTGGAAGTCTTTTTTCTCTAGTAACTTTACAAGGTGTGCTTAAAAAAAAAAAAAGGAGTAACAAGGTGAACGCTGCTGGTGAGTGCCAGCCAATGGAAAGGGAGGCTCATAAAAGATGGCGGTGCATTCTCAACCAACTTATTCACTGAATCTGGCCCTATGCAACTTCTGGCTCATTCTCAAAATACAAATGACCATGAAAGGTTGACATTTTGGGTCAGTGTAGGACATCAAGGCAGCCAGGCCAGCAGAACAAAAGCCACTCATGAAAGAAGACTTCAGAACTGCTCAGAAAGTGGCAAGAGGGATGGGATAACATGTTAGAAGCAAGAGGGAGTATTTAAAGGGAGGTCAGTAGTAATACATCTTGTACTATAATAATTTTTTAAAATTTAAATGTACAGCATATTTTGATCACACCTTAATAGCAAATTATTTAGTCACTAAAATAGTAATAACATTTTATATTTAATACTAATATGACAAAAATGATTATGAAATTGGATGTATGCTATAATTTATGAAAAGAGTAGAAATCATAAGGAAAAGACAGACCTTCATCTTATGACCAAGTAAATATAGAATACTGAAATATTTTCATTCTTCCCAAATTTCCTATGCTGTTGTTATAATTATTTCACAATGAAAAACTTCCAGTTTGAAAGTAAATGTATGTGTTTTTACCTTGGCAGACAAAATTTAGATGTGGTAAGAAACTTACTTTTACGTTATGAGTTTTATATAACTTTATAGTTTACATCATATGTGTTAAAATAGCCAAGAACAAATCACACAAAAGAATTTCTCATAAATTCTTTAAAATAGTCTCTGATTTTGATTAAGGATAAAGGAGACCATCATATTATTTATGTCATATCAAATAATACTCTGCCGCTTCCCTACCTTATCTTCTGGAAGTCCAGTTTGGCTGAAATAAATAGCATAATGGTCATCACCTCTGATGTAGAACCTATAAACATCAGAATCTGGAACCACGAGAAATCCACTGAAGCGTGCAACAAATGTGTCGTGTTCCATGGGCCAAGTGTAGGAAGCAGAGTCTATCCAGGTGGCACCCATGTACCCTGGTGTGTTTTCACCGTATCCAAGTATCTCCTCAAGATGCGCTGGCCGACTTCTATTCCATACCTCCAGCTTCAGGCCTCTCCCACCTAAATACAATAAAAGAGAAGTGTCCATTTATCAGAATCATGATGCAGGGTCTCCACAACCTTCTATTTGGGTAGTAGTTATAGATGTTCTATGTTAGTTCACACTTTCAGAAGAAGTGTGTAATCAAAACAATCACACACATCCTTCCATGAACCCATCCCCAGAAGCCAGAGTGCTACTAGGACAATCTGCAATTTGCTTATTATTTTTTTCCTCTGACCCTCAGTTTTCATACATGTCGAATGGAAGTAAAATACTATCCACCTGGTTTCTATGAGGATTATGTATACTATACATGTAAAACATCCGACACTTAATATGTGCTTTGCATAAGGTAAAAGTATAAAATAATTACGGTAGTACGCATGATATGACTGATGTTGCTTTATGAAATAAAATCCCCAAACTTGAAATTTCACACCATTTGATTATCAAATCTTTGTCTTGGGGAGTCCAACAAAAGTTACATGATAGTTTACATAATCATTAAGCAAAGAAGAGATATTGTTGACGTTAGGATCTCCTGAAGTGTTTGTTTTTCTTTGCTCCTCCCCCCCTTTCCACATTGTTTCTGTGGTAAGATTTGATCCTTCTTGAGTAGAATCAAAGAGAGAACACTTGCAGTGAACAGTACCTACTCTAGCCAGTAGAGACTGTCTTTCCTTCATCCGAAAGGAGCTGTCACATTCTTTTTCTTTTTCCACAAGATGCAACAACTGTTAGCCTCAACAGTAGCCTCCAGCTTGTTTGCATCTGGAAAATAACAGCTACTCCTCAAGTTGGATTTGGTTGGAGAAAAGCTTGAGCACATCAACCTTTTACAGCAGCAGGGTGCTCTGAAACACACATTCTATTCTAAAGCCATCAAGTATAAATCCCAGAATTATTTTTGTAAACTGATAACTTGTTCTAATTCAAAGCAAAGGAATTTAAGAGGTTGATAAATAGAATTTATTAGGCTTTGAATAGCAACTGGTGACAGAATTATAAATAGATTTCACTGTGCACAAGATATGAGAAATAAGCAATGCTCAGACTCACACATGGCATTTCAATGGAAAAAGTCTTCACTAATTCCAGGCTAACCTGAAAGTCACCAGGTTATAAGGAGAAAGTGTGAAACGAATTTTGAGTTGCAAATTTTGAGTTGCATTTCTTTCATCTGTTTCTACTCCCAAATTATTGGGAGAAAGGATTTGACCTTCCTTATTTATTTTTTTTAACCAGGAAAAGACATTTTAAAATTTGTATGTAGAAAGAACCAAGATTTGGTATATATATATATATATATATATATATATATATATATATATATAT